GGGGAAAGGAGGGAGGGAGAGGGAGAAAGAGAGAGGGGAGAGGGAGGGAGGAGAGGGAGGCGGAAGGGAGGGAGGAAGGGAAAAGGAGAAGGGAGGGGTAACAGGTAGAGAGAGGGAGGGAGGGAGGGTGAGGGAGGAGAAGGAACAGAGGCAGAGAGGGAGAAAGAGAGAGAGAGAGAACAGCACTTAATTTCCCAACAAATTTAGTCCACAGCTGCTTTTATACAAAGATGCTGTCAGAAGGCTGCTATTTTTACTAACTCACTCATAAAAATTGCTAGGTACATTCCCACCCATGTTCTTGGTGCCAGTAGAAAAAAAGGAAAAGGAAAAGGAAAGGAAAGAAAAGAAAACTTTAAATATCTTAAACGTTTTGCCTTTTGGCAACAGGTGGGGAAGGCACGTTAGCCTGAAAAACTCAGCGGTTAAACAGAGGCCCAAAGCTATGAAATCCTTCAAAAAGGAGCATTTTCCCTCCTTCAATAGGTACACGCGTGGTTGAGGGACAGAGAGCTTGAGAGAAAATTCAGAATTTCGTTATTAGCAGGTGTTGACAGTGGCGAGAATTTTATCCCCAGGTAGTCCTTTTCCTTCCTTCTTTCCTTCCCTCCTTCCTTCTCTCCCTTCCTCACGCCCTCTCTTTTCCTTCCTTCCTTCCCTCCCTTTCCTTCCTCCCTCTTTTCTTTTCCTTCCTTCCTTCCTTCCTTCCTTCCTTCCTTCCTTCCTTCCTTCCTTCCCTCTCTCCCTCCCTCCCCATCTCCCAGAATCTCCAACTGGTTGGGGGCAACTGGGAAATGAATGAATTCCAGACGGTGCCAAATTGGGGAAGGGTGTCTCCTCCTGCTCTTTCACCAATCCATCTCCTCTCTTTTTCAGGACCCGACTCTGTTCCTTCATCCAATGCGTGGGGTTGAAGAAGAGGAAGGGAGGGGAAAACCTGCCCTGTCTTCTGTCAAAACCTCCGGACAAAAGGGAGGCTTTTCAAAACAGAATGGAGTTTTTTTGTTCTTCCTGGCTATAAGAAAAGACTCGCTCTAACATCTCCCTGCGCAAACAAGGGAAATAAATGTTCAGAGCTGTTTATTTACTTGCACAGACACACGAGGACGGTCAACGGGAATTTTTCTATTCATTCATGATTTCTACATGAGTCATTTGCCTACAAAGGACGCCATTCAGCCTAACAGCTTTTTTTTTTTTCTTCTGCTTCTTCTTTTCTTTTCTTTCTTCCTTTTTAAAAAAAAAATAAAAATAGGTGGCTAATTATGTCTTTTCTCTTTTGTCCAAATCCAAGGCAGCAACTAATGTGTTTGGCCCCGAGGATCCTGGCTGGGTAGTTTGGTCACAAGGACGGATCTGTTTTCTTCCAAGAAATGAACTCATCGCAGGTGGCCGCTATGGAAGCAAACCAGCATTGGCTTCTCTCTCCTTGCAGACTGAGGTTACGTAGCTGCAGCCTCTTCATTCAGAAAACCAAGTTCCCCCAAAATAGGAGCCTTCGGATGAACTTAAGGCCAGAATTCTCATCCTCTTTGACTTCTGGCCGCCGAAGATGGATTTGTGATATTGCAAAAGCTCTGGAGGATGTCCCACTGCGGAAGGCTTCAATAAAGCTTTAGCAAGTGCAGGCCAGTCCTTGACTTACAGCTGTTTAGGGACCGTTCGAAGTTACAACGGCCCTTGAAAGAAGTTGTGACCGTTTTTCACACTTACGACCGTCGCATCGTTCCCCCACGCTCACGTGATCAAAATTCAGGAGGCTTGGCAACCGACTAAGATTTGCGATGGTTGCGGAGACCACCTTTTGCGAACGTCGGACAAGCAAAAGTCCAGGGGGGCAACCGGATTCACTTAACAACCGGGTTGCTAACGTAACCTCAGCAGTGATTCACTTAACCACCGCGGCAAGACAAGTCGTCAAATGGGGGCGAAGCTGACTTAGTAACTGTCTCACTTATCAACAGGAACCTTGGGCTCAATTGTGGAATCATCTGTACTTGCGCTAAAAAAAAAAAATGCGATGATTTCATTTCATAGGAGAAAATGCTGGGGTCTGTCCCGGTTCGGACCGGATTCCCCGATCCGGTAGCGATGGAGGCGGGTGGTTCGGAGAACCGGTAGCAAAAATCCCTGCGCCCCACCCCCACCCCCATGCCCCACTGAGCTGCATGATCGTCAGAGGCTTTTTTTAAAAAAAATTTAAAAGCATTTTTTCTACAACCTGTTCAGCCGAAAAAATGCTTTTAAAAGTTAAAAAAAAAAGCCTCTGATGATCGTGCGGCTCAGCTGGGATCATCAAAGGCTTTTAAAAGCCTCTGACTATCCATGCTGAGTTGCCTGACCGGCAGAGGCTTTTTTTCTTTTATTGAAAAGTTTTTACAAACATTTTAACCAAGTTTTGAGCCCCACCTCCCTCCCCATTACCCCTCCCTCCCCTCTCCTTTCTCCCCCACCCCCCCGACTTCCCAGAGTGAAATACAGGGTATTTCATTTAGCAATCTTAATCTAATATATGCTAACTATCAATAAACTCTTTTCATCCCTTTTTCACTTTAACTCCCTATTGACGTAGCTAAGTAATAACATATCTTCTTAAATCCAAATATTCATTCATATACTATTTGAAACTTTTTAGTCCCATATTTGTTTTGAATATAATCAATCCATAGGCTGATCAGGTAACTCAGCTGGGATTGTCAGAGCCTTTTGAAAGCATTTTTTTTTACAACCTCTTTGCTGAAGAGTTTGTAGAAAAAATGGTTTTAAAAGTTAAAAAAAAAATTGGCCATGCTCACCCAGTCACATTACACACACACCCCCACCAAGAACCGGTAGTAACAAATTTTAGATTTCATCACTGGTCTGTAGGTAGCCAGGTCTACATGCATACAGAGAATAAATTTCTGATTTTATTTAAACTATGTAAGGAAAACATAGGAATGTTTGCCAAAGTTTCAAAAAAAAAAAGAAGGCAATAACAACAACAACATTCCGATGGCTCTTCTCAATTTTAGGTAGCAGATGTTTCTGCTCCGTCAAAATTTATCGTGTGGATTTTGGGCGGCTTCGCTTTCCAAAACAAGACAGCCGGTTCCAAAGCACAGCTGGAACCGCTGGAATAACACAAACAAAGCTGCTCCAATATTTCTTTTTAATGGACCTGAGAGTGAAGATTCCCTTGATCAAAACAAGCCTTTTTTTCTTTTTTCTTCTTCGAATTCTGTCCTATTTCAAAAGATCGCTACACACCAGGAACGGGAAAGTATGGCCCCTTTGCCATCTCAGAATTCGGGAATAACAGAGTTGGAAGGGAGCTTGGAGGCCTTCGAGTCCAACCCCGTGCTCAGACAGGAAACCCTATACCAGTAAGGGTTAACCTTTTTGCCATCGCGTGCCAGGAGCGGGGAAGGGGGGGGTCGCGCGCACGTGTGCCCACATCCATAATTCTATGGGGCCTATGCATGCGCGCACAAACCCACCACTCCGTCCCCACTCCTGGCACACGATGGCATGGTGGGCCTAGTTGGCCTGTTTTTCTCTCTCCCAAGGTAAATGGGCCATTTCTGGCCTCCGGAGGGCCTCCAGGGGGGCGGGGGGGCTGTTTTCGCCCTCCCCAGGCTCCTAGAAAGACTCTGGAGGCTGGGGAGAGGAAAAAATGGGCCTTCCCCACCATCCCCCGAGGCCCTCGGAAGGCAGGAAACAGGCTGTTTCCCTACTTCCAGTGGGCCAGAAGGCCCGAAAATCAGCTGGTCGGCACGCACATACACGCTGGAGCTGAGCTCGTGTGCCCACCGATATGGCTAGGCGTCATAAGTTCGCCATCATGGCCCTATACCATTTCAGACACTTGTCCAATCTCTTCTTTAAAACTTCCAGTATTAGAGCATCCACAACTTCTGGAAGCAGGTGGTTCCACTGGTTAATTGTTCTCACTGTCAGGAAGTTTCTCCTTAGTTCTAGGTTGCTTCTCTCCTTGATTAGTTTCCACCCGTTGCTTCTTGTCCTGCCCTCAGGTGCTTTGGAGAATAGCTTGACTCCCTCTTCTTTGGGGCAGCCCCTGAGGTATTGGAATACAGGTAGTCCTCGACTTACAACCACAATTGAGCCCAGAATGTATGCTGTTAAGCAAAACGTTTGTTCAGTGAGTTTTGCTCCATTTTACGACTTTTCTTGCCACTTTAAGACGTTAAGTTAGTAACACAGTTGTCAAATGAATCTGGTTTTCCCACTGACTTTGCTTGTCTGAAGGTCGCGAAAGGTGTTCCTATGACTCCGGGATCTTGCAACCGTCATAAATGTGAGTTAATCTCCAAATGTCTGAATTTTGATCGTGTGACCATGCGGATGCTGCAACGGTCGTAAGTGTGAAAAACGGTCGTAAGTCACGTTTTTCAGTGCCGTGGTAACTTTGAATGGTCACTAAGTGAACTGTTGTAAGTCAAGAACCACCTGTACTGCTATATCACCCTGAATCCTTCTTTCAATTAAACTAGAACAGGGATCAGCAACCTGTGGCTCTGGAGCCGCATGTGGCTCTTTCATCCCTCTGCTGAGGCTCCCTGACACTCAAAATATGCATCACAACCGCCAATGTGCGACACCCACCTGCACATGATTTATTGAGCTTTTCAACCCCCGGTAGGCCAACCATGGATAAATCCAAGAAAAGAAAAGTTTCAGAAGAAAACAAAGTTTAATTCAACTACATTTGCTAGTTTTGTGGCCGCTCAAGAAATAGTCAGGCACGGGAAGAGTTTTGTGGCTCCCGGTGTTTTCTTTTCTGTGGGAAACGGGTCCAAATGGCTCTTTGAATGTTTAAGGTCGCAGACCCCTGGACTAAACACACCCAATTCCAGCAACGGTTCTTTATATGTTTTAGCCTCCAGTCCCCCTAATCATCTTCGTTGCTCTTTGCCCATCTCTGGACTTCTCTGAAATCTGTTGGGACTTCAACTCCCAGCATTCCCTGACCCAGCCGGTCAACCCAAGTGCAGCCTTACCCATCCCTGAATCCTTTTTGGTGCCATCCGAGATGATATCCACGTGGTCGCTGTCTACGTCGTAACTGAAAAAATCGTTCAAGTACGTTTTCGACCTTTGTCCGCCAAACATATACAGGCAACGGTTTTTCTAAAAGGGAGGGGAAAAGAAAAGATACGCAGAGTTGTTAGGTGTGGTCTAGGCCAGCGATCACCAACTGGCGGTCCGTGAGAAAAGGTTGGTGGTCCGCAGAAAAATTATTTGCATTTTTTATACTGCACTAAATCAGTGCAATGAATGTTTGTGTTGCTGCAAAGAGTCTCCCCTTTTGGGGTCTTCTTCTGTGGGTAGGAGGGGGGCAGAAATTCAAACTTGGGGTCTGCTTCAGCCTCCTGGTTGAGGGGCTTTGGGCGAAGGCTGGAGGGAAGTGCCGCTGGTGGCGAAGAGCCGGAGGGCCTCGTTCCAGTGGGACAGCATCATGGCCTGGAACTGGCTAACCATCTCAGCCCGCTGAGCCTCCAGGCGCCGGTACCTGGCCTTGCACTCCCGCAGGTCTTCCCTCTGCTTGGAAAGCCTATGCTCCTAGTCCTCAGTGAGGTGCTTCTGCTGAGCCTCCTTTTCGGTCAGATCCAATTTGAGCTGAGCCAACTCTTTCTCATGGTGGCTGCTTAGCTCCAACAACTGCTTCCTGTTGGGGCCCTAAGGAGCCCGGGTGGGGGAGGAGAGGAGTGGATGGGAGGGGAGGGGCAAATAGAGGCCGGCGAGGCGCTCCTCAATGTGAGTGACATCGAGTTGACCACGCCCACCCAGTCACATGGCCACCTAGCCACGCCCACCCAGCCGGTCATTAGGCAGATCATATTAGTGGTCCGTGGGATTTAAAATTATGAATTTAGTGGTCCCTGAGGTCCGAAAGATTGGTGACCCCGGTCTAGACCAGGGGTCTCCAACCTTGGCAACTTTAAGCCTGGTGAACTTCAACTCCCAGAATTCCCCAGCCAGCTTTGCCGGGAGTTGAAGCCCGCCAGGCCTAAAGTTCTCAAGGTTGGAAAACCCTGGTCTAGAATACAGGTAAGTCATAGTTTGTTCCAAGTTCCAACATCACCGACGAAAGGGACTTAGGACCGTTTTTCACACTTGCGACACTTATAGCATTTCCTCCGTGATCAGGTGATTAAAATCCAGACCCTTGGCAACTGACTTATATTTATGACTGCTGTGGCCTCATGGGATCACGTGATCCCCTTTTGCGACCATCTGACAAGCCAAGTCAATGAGGAAGCCAGATTTCACTTAACGACGGTCTTACTAACTTAACGAGCGCAGTGATTCACTTAACAACGGTGACAAGGAAGGTCATAAAATGGGGGCAAAACTCAGTTAACAAATGTCTCGCTTAGTTAAGTGAACGTTAAGTTTGGGTCGGTCACCGGTACCAGAGATTTACGTTAATATCTAACATCTTGGATATTAGTTAATATTGAAGAATGGACATTAAAAGTTGCGCATTTGGCAGAGAGGGCAAAAATTTCATCATATCTTAAAGATCACTCAAACGAAAGATACATATTGGAATGGAAAAGATGGATTGACTATATTCAAAATAAGTATCAGACTAAGAAGTTTCATATAGCTTATGAGTGAATCACTTAATTTGATTTTTAGTTTATGTTTATAGTGTTTTGAGTTATAAGGAGTTAAAGACCTAGAGATAATTTGAAGTCAACAAATTGTTAGTATATTTTAGTTTTACGTTTGTGAATGCTATACCCTGTGCTTGTTCTGGGAAGTCAAGGGAGGGGGGTGGGGGGAAGGGGGAGGGGGAAAGGGGGGGGGGGGTGAGGAAGGAGGGATGGGAGGGAGGGAGAAAATGTTTGTATCTTCTATAAAAGTTTTCAATAAAAAAAAATCTAACATCTTGGATATTAGTTAATATTTCCTTGGAGTTAGATAAGGATCAATGGAATTCAAGAAGAGTTGGACTCAGTTCGATGATGACTACTTAGGGATTCTAAGCTGATCCCCCTCTTAACTCCGCCTCCCAGGTGCCTACAACTCCCTGTATAAAATTTTAATAGATTAACACACAGGCCAAGATAATATAAACTTAAAGCAGTCCCACAGAGGGCTGGTCCTTACTGAATGGAATAACATGCAGTGTCCTATTCTGGATTGGACGTCTTCAGGACCAGCATTACACGAATCTTCTCGCAAAAGTTTCCATATCCGGCATTGACAGTCAAAAGCAAAGAGGCCGCTGAATTGTGGTTCACTGGCCCGGCTGTCGTCAACACTGCCGTTGCATGTCAAAATCCTTCCCCCGAAGGTGTAGATCATGTGTTTCTCCGAATCCATGCACATCTGCAACAAATGGAAGGCATTTTTATTAAAAATACGGCTTGATACCATGAAAAACAAGACTTGTTTTTTTAAAAAGAGTATATATTACGCTTTAAATAAGCAGTGTCCAACTTTGGCAACTTTTAAGACTTGTACACTTCAACTCCCAGAATTCCGCAGTCAGCATGACTGGCTGGGGAATTCTGGGAGTTGAAGTCCACAGGTCTTAAAGTCACCATGGTTGGACACCCCTGCTTTAAATGTTCCATGAATTAAACCCTAATAACTGGCTGAGGAATTCTGGGAATTGAAGTCCACACATCTTAAAGTTGCCAAGGTTGAGAAACACGGTTATATACATTTTTTTTTTTTACTCTTTTTTCCCATCTGTTTTTCTACCTACATTAACGCACACATACACTAACTTCTCTCTGCACGTTTTTTCTTTCTTTATATCCTCTGACCTTTTTTCACTCTGTTCAAAAGGTCTTTTTACAGTTTCCTCTCTTCAGCCCTCTCTATTTTGACTTCTCCACCTTATTTTCTCCCAGGGACGTCAATCTGATTTAAATCTGTTAGCCAAACCAAAAAAAAAAGTGATCTGGGTAGATCTCTGAGAAAGCAAGGAAGAGAAAAAGGGAACTTGGTGGAAGATCAAATTACTACCCTCATTCACTCTTTTGCTGGATGGAAACTGTTAATTCTGTCTATTAAAAAAAACCTGCCCACTGTGATTTTTTTAAAAAAACCAATTATATCACAAATAAAGGCAATTTTCCCACTGATTCCACCCTCCTGTTTTTTCCCTTTCCTGTTGGGTTCTTCTACTTCTGATTCTACACTAGATCAAAGTAGGGGTGAAATCTAAAATTTGTTATTACCAGTTCTGTGGGCGTGGCTTGGTGGGGTAATGTGTCTGGGTGGGCGTGGCCAACTTTTTTTTTTTTTTTACTTTTAAAAGCATTTTTTCAGCTGAAGAAACTAAAACTGAAAGTGAAACTCCTCTCCTCTGCTTGTGTTTTGCTTGTGTTGGAAAACCTGCTTTTGGTATTGTATATTTACTTTATATTATATAGAGAGAGAAGTTATTGAATCCTGCTGAACCAGTTACTTGTGTGTGCTTTCTGGATGTGATTGCTGCTGCAAACTCTGACAGTCCTTGCAGCAAATAACGAAAGTCAGCGTCAGCACATTATTGCAGCCTGATTCGGCAAGAGCAGCTGATTGGCGGGTGGATTGGCCTCCCGGAATATCCCCAATCAGCTGTTCCAGGCTGCAGAGATTGCCACAGACCATCATCACCTCCTTGCCTTGCGTTTTTGGCTACATTTGGTGTATAAGACGCACCCAAATTGTCACCTTCTTTGAGGGGGGTGGAGGGGGAGTGCACCTTATACTCTGAAAAATATGTTAAGTGAGTGTCCACTAGAATTCCAGGATCCCACACAATAGCAATAGCACTTAGAACTTATGTACTGCTTCACAGTGCTTTACAACCCTCTCTCTTGCTCACAAAGCATGAGAACAACCCAGAGGGTTGCAAACCCATCCTTCTGAGTACAAATATGATTAACCCACATTCCAAATGCTCCTAAGCCCCCTAGGGTGTGATTGACAACTGACCTGATGGTCAAACACAAGCTTGGGGCCTCCATCAGCGGCCGTATCTTCGCTCAGCAACATCCAGGTGTTCGTGTCGATGTCGTAGCGATAGAAGTCGCTTTTCAGAGATTTGCTGTTCCTCACAGAGGAATCCAGGTAACGTCCCAAGGTGTAGATCTGCCTTCGCTGGATGTCGATGCACATCTTGTGACAGGACCGAGCAGTCGGACCATTCTGGACAGAAGAAAGAACGGAAAAAACAGTTCACAAGCCAGTATCGGGATTCCACAGAACCTGGGATTGAGCTGTCTTCCATCTGTGAAACTCACTGTCACAGTTCTGACAGATGGGATCCAAGCTTCAAAAGAAATCCAGTTATTTATTAGGAGCTTCATGTCCAAGTGAAGCCAGCTCTGACCCTATGTAATTTGCACCCCAATTATTACCCTGTTTCCCCCCCTCCCCCTAGGGTGTGTCATCAATCACATTCGCCAATGGAGAAATTTTGTGGGTTGTAGAAGTTACTCCCCTCCAGCTGCTGTAGGTAATCCTGGGACACAACCTTGAGAGGGATAAGCATGGAATGTGCTTTGGCTGCTGTGCCGTTTCGCTGGTTTCCCATCCCCCCTGGCCTATGGCAACTCGAGAGCAGGCCAGGGATGCTTTGCAAGTTGACACTCACACAGAGAATGTGGGGTTCTTGTAGCATTTGTTATGTGTGATAAACAGAAATATCATTAATTCCCTCTGGCATTTTTTTTGTTTTTGTTTTTTAGTAAAGCTGCCGATCGCTCCTGTCAGAAATATTTTCAGACCTTCGGTCAACCTAAAACAGAAGATCACGATGCTGTTTAACGTGAAAGCAATGATCTCATTCGCCTTCTGCTCTTCCCCATGCAAAGGGAGGAGATTAGAAAACCACAATCATCATCCTCTTTTAACGACCCCATAATCCCTTGTGGGATGGAGTCTGGGCAACTGAATGGAGCTAGCAGAGTGTTTACTGGCCGGATGCCCTTCCTGTCACCAGTGCGAAGGTTTTTTTCAGCAGATATATTCTCAGTGTGCCCAGAGAGAGAAATATCTGCCTCTACCTAGGATCGAACTCACAGCCTCCTGATTGTGAGGCGACAGCTCCACCTCTAGGCCACTGTTCCACTCATTAGAAAACCTCAACATTGTGTTAAAATTTGCAAGGGGCAGAGCCACTTTGAGGTGCAGAGGTTTTGCCAGAACAAAAAACTCTGATTCACTGAAACCTGATAGAAAACACTGGAAGATTCGCCAAGATTCGTCCTTAGGACATTTCTTGACCTGGTCTACTGTCAGATGCCACCTTATGCTTCTTGTGCTTCGCTGCTATGTGGTAACAGACTGCCGTGAACTGTGGGTGAAGTGGAATGAAGGGGAGGAATGCTTGGGGAAACGAAAATAAATGCTATTATTTCATCTTCTCGGGATGCTGCCTCAAGGTCACCCAGCTGGAGGAAGAAAGGAGTTGCATACCAAACTATGCTTGGACTGACCGCTATGAAAATATCTTGCCTGAACCTGATTGGTTACACTGGGGTGGACAATGAGAGACAGCTAAGGAAGGGAAGGCTGAACTTAGGGATTTGGGCACGCGATTCTCAGTTCCAGCTTTGCATTTCTGCAAAGAGCCTTGGTGGTACAGTGGTCTAAGGCACCCTGTTATTAAGCTGGTTATTAAGACAGCTGCCTGCAATTACTGCAGGTTTGAATCTCTCCAAGGCTCAAGGTTGACTCAGCCTTCCATCCTTTCTAAGGTAGGTAAATTGAGGACCCAGTTTGTGGGGGCAATAAGCTGACTTTGTATAAAATATACAAAAGTATGAAGGCTATTGCTTAACACATTATAAGCCGCTCTGAGTCTCCGGAGAAGGGCAGCATATAATAAATCAAATTTAAAAAAAAATACACTTAACTTCTAATAAAATTACATCTTTCTCAACCGATGGAGCCAAGGATCGTTTCTATTTGGAGGTTTAATCTGTGGCAGGTCTGACACCTACCTACCTTTAGAGGAGGTGATGTTGATGCCTTTGTCAATGCTTGGAAGTAGGCTGTCAGACACTGGATGAGACAGAATAGGCCAGAAGTGTCAAACCCGTGACCCCCAAGCCAGATGAGTCATGTGCTGGCCACGCCCACCCCCATTTTAACGAAGGGGGGGGAAGTCGTGATACGTTACGTGACGGCACGAGTTTGACACCCCTGGTATAGGCTGAAAGTGAACCCAAATAAGGTAGGATTCCATAAAGCAGTGTTTCTCAACCTTGGAAGCTTGAAGATGGGTGGACTTCAATTCCCAGAATCCCCCAGCCAGCTCAAATGATCTCATCTTGGGCACATTATGCAAAGACCTAGCTTCCTGGAGAAAGCCTAATATAGCCTAATATAAATATTTGAAAATAAATAAATAAATAAATAAATAAATAATATTGGGGAAGGGAAGAGAAGAAGGGCAGCAAGAAGCTCAGATCCAGAAAGAGTTTGATAAGACTTCTTAGAATACATAAGAAGGCTTTTTAAAAAGAGAAAAATGAATCTGTGATTTATGGGTTTGAAGACTAGAAAGATAAGCTTTAGAGAAATGAAATTATGATGTCGCTTTAGAGATGGGGGAGGGGGGGGACAAAAATAAAAATAAGAATTAATATCCTGGCCATATTATGTTTCTCTAGAGGAGCATTTCTCAACCTTTTAATTTAAAACCGGATTCCCTTAATGACCACATGATTCACAGGGATTCACTTAGCGAAAACGGTCATAAAATGAAGCAAAACTCACTTAACAACTGACCTGCTAAGCAATGGAAATTTGGGGCCTTATTGTAATTGTAAGGTGAGGTCTACCTGTAGTTTCAATATTTCCTGGTTTATTCAGAAGCCATTCCTGTAATATTCACTAGCCTTTCTCCCAGGTAGCCAGAGATACTTTTGGGCCCTTGTACATTATGAAAGTACCGTACTTTTAAGAATATAAGACACACTTCCCTCCACCCCCAAAAAAAGAGGGTGGAAATGTCGTTGCGTCTTATAGAAAAAATACGGCCATTTTTGGCCTCCCAAAACCCCGCCCCGCGTGTCCCGTTTTTGCCAAAAACAGCCCCGTTTTTCACAAAAATGGGACGTGTAGAGCAGTGGTGAGTTTCAAAAATTTTTACTACCGGTTCTGTGGGTGTGGCTTGGTGGGTGTGGCATGGATTGGTGGGCGTGGCAGGGAAAAGATACTGTAAAATCTCCATTCCCACCCCACTCCAAGGGAAGGTTGCTGCAAAATCCCCATTTCCTCCCGATCAGCTGGGACTCGGGAGGCAGAGAATAGATAGGGGCTGGGCCAGTCAGAATTTTTACTACCGATTCTCCGAACTACTCAAAATTTCCGCTACCGGTTTGCCAGAACTGGTCAGAACCTGCTGAAACCCACTTCTGGGTGCAGAGGATTTCAGAGGCCTGTAGAGTGCTCCTGGGGGCTGGGGAAAGCAAAACCGGGATGGGGAGGGGGTTCAGGAGCCAAAAATGGGACTGTTTTTCACAAAAACGGGATGCGCAGAGGGTTTGGGAGGCCTGCAAAGTGCTCCTGAGGGCCGGAGGCACACGGAGGCCAAAAACTTTTTTTTTCTTGTTTTCCTCTTCAAAATCTTGGTGCGTCTTGTAGTCCGAAAAATATGGTACTCTGTATTTCAACAAACCCGTTAACATAGAGAAGCAAATGTTCTAAGAATTCACAGATCGTTCTTCTTAATAGCTTGTTCATGAACATTCTTGCCTTTCCCTTTACAGCAATATTGGAAAACATCTGAATTCAGGAAGTTGTTTATCTGCTTTTGACTGCGTTTTTCTCTGATTTTAATTAAGGCTCAAAAAAGCAATGACCTTGACATCACCTGCTCTACACAAGTTGTTCAAGTAGGACTCTACCCACTTGTGTTTGTGAGAGACGGGTACAATTTCTGCTTTGGGGAAAAGAAAATATTTCACTGATATACTTTTCCACGTTTAAGGTAATGTGTCCTTATTGGGAGGTTTTGTGTTGTTAATAAGGAGCCTGAGTGGCGCAGCAGATTAATGCTACTGTTAAAGGTAGTATTTAGCTTCCAGCTGCCTGCAATTACTGCGAGTTCAATTCTCACCAGGCTCAAGGTTGACTCAGCCTTCCAGATGTCAGCGTCTCACCGCTGGCATAGAGAGGAGAGAGATAAACCCTGAACTTTTGCCTGCTAAATCCCTTTGAAGCTGGGTCGTCGTGGAAATGAAGGGAGGGGGGACAGTCCTGTGAAATGACGAGACAAGAAGTCAATAGAGTGACTTGGAAGATAGCCAATGAGAAGCAGATAATTGGGGATCGGAAAGGGAGGGATTGGGGGGCAAAAGGTCTGCATCGAGTCATGATCCGGTTGCTGTGCTCAAATAAAGAGAAGATTTCCTTAAAGATTGGCAGTTTGGAAATTCATTTATTTTGAGATAGCATCGAAGTCTGACACCATCCTTTCTAAGGTAGGTAAAATGAGGACCCGGTTTGTGGGGGTAATAAGCTGACTTTGTATAAAATATAAAAAAGTCTGAAGGCTATTGCTTAACGCATTGTAAGCCGCCCTGAGTCTCCGGAGAAGGGCTGCATGCATGCATGCAAAATAAATAAATAAATAAATAAATAAATAAATAAATAAATAAATAAATAAATAAATAAATAAATAAATAAATAAATAAATAAATAAATTAAAAAAAAAAAAACTGCTCGGGGCCTTGTTAAACCCGGAGGTGTATAAACATAACAAATACAGAAAAATGAAGCATGTTTGCTTATGTAACTACAGGTAACCGTTAGAACCATTCATTCAGTGACTGTTTGAAGTTACAATGACACAGAAAAATTACTTATGTTTTTCACACTTGCAACCAGAGGTGGTAATCAGCCGGTTTGGACTCGTTCAAGCGTACCGGTAGCAAAAATCCCAGGTGGGCCCGCCCCAGCTCTATGCTTTCTTATTTAGGCACTTTTTTGAGGCTGGGCGCATATGCGGATGGCGCGTGTGAGCGCAAAGCACATGAACAGAAGGCCAGACACATGCGTGCAGGCTGGGCACATGCACAGAGCGCGCACGCGCTCACATTTTTGGCGCAGGGCGAACCGATAGGTAAACGATGCAAATCCCACCTCTGCTTACAAACACTGCATCACAAGACCAACATTTGGACGCTTGGTGAGTGGCACGTATTTGTGACGGTTGAAGTGTGCCGGGGGGAAGGGGGGGTCATGGGAACATCTTTTGCAACTTCCTAACAAGAAAAGTCAGTGGGGGAAAACCAGATTCACATAACCACCTTTTACTAACTCAACGACTGCAGTAATTCACTTCGCAACGATGGCAAGGCGGATCGCAGAATGGGGCCAAACCCAGTTAACGTGTGTATTTTGCTTAGCAGTGGAAATGTTGGGCGCAATCGCAGTCGTAAACCGAGGACTACCTATAAGACACAGTGGGGCTACGGAATTTTTAAGCCTTTAAAACAGGGGCCTCCGACCTTGGCAACTTTTAAGACTTGTGAATTTCAACTCCCAGAGTTCCTCAGCCAGCAAAACTTGTGGACTTCAACTCCCAGAGTTCCTCAGCCAGCAAAACTTTAAGACTTGTGGACTTCAATTCCTTCCTGTCTGAGGAATTCTGGGAGTTGAAGTCCACAAGTCTTAAAGTTGCCAAGGTTGGAGACCCCTGCTTTAGAACACTTAATAGCACTATTTTTGATTTGTAAATTGTGAGAGGCTAGTGAGGCAAGCAAATCTCCCTCTTGCAAACATGAAGGGACATGAAGTTAGGAGAATTGAAGAATTGACTGCTCAAGGAAAGTCCATTTAAATCCTTCTCAAATCCTAGATCTTCAGATCTTTGCTGGCTACCAAAAGGACTTAATTTATAAGGTTTTCTCTGCATAGATATTTGATGAAGCCCAGCAGAGTTTGCTGGACCCACCTCTCCCATCGGTTCCAAAACTTCCATTAAATGTTTTTTTTAAAAAAAATAATAATAATTCTTTGCTTCATTCTGTTCTGCCAAAGCATCTTTGTTTATTTTCAGCAACGGAACAGCCAACTTTTCCATCAATTGAAAGCCCGGGGGGGGGGGGGGGGGGGCAGTAGAGAGGCAAAAAGGGACGTGACTTTGTATTCACTCAAAATACACAAGAAGGGAGAATGTGAAATGGTCACCTCCGTAGCTTGCACACAAAAACTGTGTTATCTGGGCCAACGCCCAGCTTGGATTACACCCAGGGGTGGGTTCTAAAAATTTTTACTACCGGTTTTGTGGGCGTGGCTTATTTTGTGGGCGTGGTTTGATGGTCATGTGACAATTCTTTAGGATTTAGCAGAGGTACTGGTCTACCAAGCTTTTAACTGCTTGCAGAGCTGTACCGGTCTACCCATTTGTTCTTGGAGCGTTCCGGTCTACCCATTTGTTTCTGGAGGCACCGGTCTACTCATTTGTTTGGAGGCACAGGTCTACTCATTTGTTTTTGGAGGCACCGGTCTACTCATTTGTTTTTGGAGGCACCGGTCTACTCATTTGTTTTTGGAGGCACCGGTCTACCCATTTGTTTTTGGAGGCACCGGTCTACCCATTTGTTTTTGGAGGCACCGGTCTACTCATTTGTTTTTGGAGGCACCGGTCTACTCATTTGTTTTTGGAGGCACCGGTCTACTCATTTGTTTTGGAGGCACCGGTCTACCCATTTGTTTCTGGAGGCACCGGTCTACTCATTTGTTTTTGGAGGCACGGTCTACTCATTTGTTTTTGGAGGCACCGGTCTACCCATTTGTTTCTGGAGGCACCGGTCTACTCATTTGTTTTTGGAGGCACCGGTCTACTCCATTTGTTTTTGGAGGCACCGGTCTACTCATTTGTTTTTGGAGGCACAGGTCTACTCATTTGTTTTTGGAGGTACCGGTCTACCCATTTGTTTTCAAAGCGCACTGGTCTACCACCACACACCTGACTCCGGAGGCAGCGAATAGATTGGGGGCGGAGCCAAATAAAAGGTAAAAATAACGCGGGGAGGCGGGAGGACTCAGCTCCCGAACAAAGAGTTTGGTGACGTCATATCATCACCGCTACCAGCTCGGCCGAACCGAGCCGAACCGGGAGGGACCCACCACTGATTACACCAAAACTTGCCTCTTTTTCAGTGTCTCTGGATATACACGTCCACTGGTTTTCCTTCACGCTGTACGCCCAGAAGTCCGCCAGATCTTGCGTCCCGTCCCAGCCGCCGAACAAATAAACGGTTTCTGATCAAAAACATTAGAAAAAAAGATGTTAATCCACGGAGTCTGAGGCCACCAAAGCTCGGCTGCAAAGACAAAACCTTGGGGTTCCCTCCTCACCCCCCAGAAATTCAAAACTGTTTGTTTTAAACCATTTATATTTGTTTGATATTTCTGGTAAACTCTTAAATGGGGCTTTTGGGTGAACCAGGATTTTTTATTTTATTTTTTTAAATGATGATTTGTAAGTTGTGAGAGGCTAGATACAGGCGTCGGGATTTTGATCACGTGGGGATGCGGCAATGGCCGTAAGTCTGAAAAACAGTCACAAGCCACTCTTTTAGAGTCACTAAATGAACGGTTGTATGTTGAGGAATACCTATACAAGCCACAGCGCTCTCCGAGATGGGCACAATCTCTTAAGGCCATCCCTAAGGAAAGTTTGAACACCGTGGTGCTAAAAGTTTCCATTTTGTTTATTTTTAAGGGAGACTTTGAAGGATTCGATTCCAGGATTTTTATAATGCCTTGGTGAGACAACACTTGGAATCCTGCATCCAGTTTTGGACGCCACGATGTAAAAAAAAGATGTGGAGACTCTAGAAAGAGTGCAGAGAAGAGCAACAAAGGTGATTAGGGGACTGGAGGCTAAAACATACGAAGGACGGTTGCAGGAACTGGGTATGTCTAGTTTAATGAAAAGAAGGACTAGGGGAGACATGATAGCAGCCTTCCAATATTTGAGGGGCTGTGTTAAGAAATTCGCAGAGCAACCCTTGAGTAGCAAGGGTGTGCACATGAAAAGTGATTGAGAGTAGTTAGGAAATAACACAGCCAACACATAAGATACACTGAGTTGTTTTTACTTTCAGGAAATAGTAATAAGGCACAGTCCATTAAATAGTCCAGGTCATACACATATAAAGCAGTAGCTATCAAACTATAGTCCAGGGATAATCCAATAGCAAAGTCTTCTTACCAGTCGTTGTAGTCATACACGTTAACAGTTCTTCTATATTTGCAAACAGTAGCAAACACAGCAAAGATCAGCAAAGAGAATCAAAGAGAAACAAACCAGGTTTCTAGTTCCCTCTTAAGGACATTGGCTACCGAGCTAACCAATCTGTATGGTTAGTATGTATGCAATACAGCAATACAGCAGTCTTAAAGCTATATTCATGGTTTATATATTGCCAACCCAACAAGTTAAGTAAAATCATTTCCTAACAGGCTGCCACAAAGAAGAGAGGGTCAGCCTATTCTCCAAAGCACCTGAGGGAAGGACAATAAACCACGGATGGAAACTAATCAAGGAGAGCAGCAACTTAGAACTAAGGAGAAATTTGTTGACAGTTAAGACAATTAATCAGTGGAGTGAGAGTCCCTTGGACTGCAAGACGATCCAACCGGTCAGTCCTAGAGGAGATCAACCCTGACTGCTCTTTGGAAGGCCAGATCCTGAAGATGAAACTCAAATACTTTGGCCATCTAATGAGAAGGAATGACTCACTGGAGAAGAGCCTAATGCTGGGAAAGACTGAGGGTAAAAAAAAAAGGGGACGGCAGAGAACGAAGTGGCTGGATGGAGTCACTGAAGCAGTCAGCGTGAGCTTAAATGGACTCCCGGGGATGGTAGAGAACAGGAAGGCCTGGAGGAACGTAGTCCATGAGGTCGTTATGGGTCGGACACGACTTCGCGACTAACAACAACAAATCAGTGGAACTGCTTGCCTCTAGAAGTTGTGGGTGCTCCATCACCAGAGGTTTTTAAGAAGAGATTGGACAACCATTTGTCTGAAATGGTATAGGGTTTCTTGCCTGAGCAGGGGGTTGGACTAGAAGATCTCCAAGGTCCCTTCCAACTCTGTTATTCCTATTCTTTTAGCAAAGCAGTGAAGCAACATCCCTCCAAAATTACTGCGGTAGGATGCATTTAAGCTTCGGGAGGGGCAGGGAGGGGGGAAAAAGATTGAAAAAAAAGAGAGAGAGAAAGATCTGGTTATAACCTCTGCTTGCAACAGCCGTAATGGCCAATATCACCACCAAAAGGTTACCTTGGGTCATTAACTGTAATTACACTGTTTATTCTGGGCACCGAGTAGCCAGTGTTCTTTGCAAAGAGTACATCTCTTTGTGTGCCTAAATTCTCACAGCTTACAAAACCCACATTTACTACAATGGACCAATTGATAACCCAGGGAAGGGGGGGGGGGAAACGGGTTTGGCACATGCCGCATATCCAATGAGGCCTCAGATAAAACATCTTGCGACGTCTAGGAAGGGCACACCATTCACAAATCGGAATTTATCCGATGGGGAGCTGGGAGAAGGAAAACCCTCCAGAGCAAAGACCGAATTTATTCCTTCCTAATAGGAACTGAGCTTGTCGATGGCATAGGACAGTGATGGCTAACCTTTTTGCCATCGCGTGCCAGGAGAGTGGGGGGCGGGGGAGGGTCGCGCGCACGTGCCCACGTGCATGTGTGCGCAACCCCCTCCCCCCCCGTTCCTGGCACAGGCTGGCCTGGTAGGCCCGTTTTTCTTTCTTACCTGGCTCCAGATCCTCTCTGTGTATCTGGGAAGGGCGAAAACAGCCTTTCCCACTCCCTTGGAGGCCCTACGGAGGCTGAAAGGGCCCATTTCCCAACTCCCAGTGGGACAGGAAGTGACATTTTTTGCTGTCCCCAGCCTCCAGAACCTCTCTAGGAGTCTGTAGGAGCCTCTCTAGGAGTCTCTGGAGGCTGGGGACAGGAAAAAACGTCACTTCCTGTCCCACCGGGAGTGGGGAAATGGGCCCTTTCAGCCTCCGTAGGGCCTCCAAGAGAGTGGGAAAGGCTGTTTTCGCCCTTCCCACATACACAGAGAGGATCTGGAACCAGGTAAGAAAGAAAAACGGGCCTTCCCCACCCCCCCAGGCCCTCCAGAGGCAGGAAACAGCCTGTTTCCCTACTTCTGGTGGGCCCAGAAGGCCCGAAAATCAGCTGGCCGGCACGCGCATGCGCCCCAGAGCTGAGCTGGTGTGCCCACTAATATGGCTCCGCGTGCCACCTGTGGCACATGTGCCATAGGTCCGCCATCACGGGCATAGGAGAAAGTACAGGCATGTCTGTTATTCTCCTTATTTTGAAATTATATAGGCCTAAAAGACTCAAGCCACCCCTCACCTTCTTAAATGCAGAATTTGTAAAACTCCCAATTTTTCAATCTGCGGATTTGATGGGAGAGGCTGTTCCTCTGGAAGGGACAGTGCTATAAATAACAAAAGTTATTTTTGGTGCCTAGTCAAAACTTAAGAATCGCGGAACAAAAGCCCTCTGTTGAGAGAAGCATTATTGTAAATGCCTGTTTAAATGCCTGCTCAAAATGCCTCTTCCCTTGCCATATGCATTCATATCCTTGAAATCTACATTTTAAAGGTCAGAACATGAATCTCGAAAGATCCACACTCTGTACACTCAGGAATTTAATTTTTATGTTCCAGTTTCCAGTTTCCAAGGTTTGTTACCCAACTGTTTTTATTAGAAAGAACTTCTTGTTCTTTTAACATGGAAGTCTTGGGTTTTGCTTTCAAGTTGCTTCTTTCTATTATTCTGAGCTGACGAACAGGCAGTCCTCGGCTTACGACCACAATTGAACCCAAAATTTCTGTTGTTAAGCGAGACAGTTGTTAAGTGAGTTTTGTCCCATTTTACGGTTTTATTGGCCACATTTGTTAAGTGAATTCACTGCAGTTGTTATATTACTAACATGGTCGTTGAGCGAATCTGGCTTCCCCATTAACATGGGACGGGACGGGACGAAATGTAACAGAAAGAGCCTTGGTAGTACAGTGGTTTAATGCACCCTGTTATTAACACAGCTGCCTGCAATTTCTGCAGGTTCGAATCTTACCAGGCTCAAGGTTGACTCAGCCTTCCATTCTTTCTAAGGTAGGTTAAATGAGGACCCAGTTTGTGGGGGCAATAAGCTGACTTTGTATAAAATATACAAAAGTATGAAGGCTATTGCTTAACGCATTGTAAGCTGCCCTGAGTCTCCGGAGAAGGGCGGCATATAAATCAAATTAAAAAAAAAAAACAGAATAGCAATAAGAATTAGGATAGGATAACAATAAGGAATAGAATAGAATAGAATAGAATAGAATAGAATAGAATAGAATAGAATAGAATAGAATAGAATAGAATATAGAATAGCAATAAGAATAGCAATAAGAATAGCAATAAAGAATAAAAAAATACATAGCAATAAGAATTGGGATAGGGTAGGGTAGGGTAGGGTAGGATAGGGTAGGACAAGACAGGACAGGTGTAGAATAGGATAGGATAGGATAGAATAACAATTAGACTTAGACTTAGATTAGATTAAGATAGGATAGAGTAGGGTAGGGTAGGGTAGGGTAGGGTAGGGTAGGGGTAGGGTAGGATAGGATAGGATAGGATAGGATAGGATAGGATAGGATAGAATAGAATAGAATAGAATAGAATAGAATAGAATAGAATTAGAATAGAATAGCAATAAGAATAGCAATAAGAATAGCAATAAGAATTGGGATAGGATAGGGTAGGGTAGGGTAGGACAGGACAGGGTGTAGGATAGGATAGGATAGGATAGGATAGGATAGGATAGGATAGGATAGAATAACAATTAGACTTAGACTTAGACTTAGACTTAGACTTAGACTTTGGATAGGATAGGATAGGATAGGATAGGATAGGATAGGATAGGATAGGATAGGATAGGATAGGATAGGATAGAATAGAATAGAATAGAATAGCAATAAGAATAGCAATAAGAATAGCAATAAGAATTGGGATAGGATAGGGTAGGGTAGGGTAGGACAGGACAGGACAGGGTGTAGGATAGGATAGGATAGAATAACAATTAGACTTAGACTTAGACTTAGACTTAGACTTAGGATAGGATAGAATAGAATAGAATAGAATAGAATAGAATAGAATAGAATAGAATAATAGAATAGAATAGATAGAATAGAATTAGAATAGAATAGAATAGAATAGAATAGAATAGAATAGAATAGAATATTTAGGACAGGACAGAACAGAATAACAGAGTTGGAAGGGACCTTGGAGGTCTTCTAGTCAAGGTGAAACAAATGACCAAATGGGCCAACTTTAAACATGTGCATTTAAAGTACATCCAGAGAAATGGCCTGACTACTGTCTCACCAAAAAAAAATTAAGAATCTCACTTACGGCCAGGTGTAATGCCATCGCTAATACAGGGAGTCCTTGACTTACAACCACAATTGAGCCCCAAAGCGAGATATTTGTGAAGTGAGTTTTGCCCCATTTTACGGCTTTTTCTCGCCACATTCGTTAAGTCTATATATATCATGGCAGTTGCTAACACGGTTGTTAAGTGAATCTGGCCTCCCCATGGGCTGTGCTTGTTAGAAGGTCGCAAAAGGAGAATCACATGATCCCGGGACACTGCGAACCAGTTGCCAACACATCCGGATGTAAATCACATGACCGTGGGGATGCTGCAGCGATCATAAGTGTGAAAAATGGCCTTAAGTCGCTTTTTTCATTGTAACTTCGAAACGGTCACTAAATGAACTGTTGTAATTCGGGGACTACCTGTATTTCCTATCACACGTCTCAGGTTGGCATTTTATTATTTCAGAATCCTCAAGTAAAATCTCAGATCCCATCGCATTTTCTACCCACTAGGAGGTGCTTTGGAACTGCATCAGCGCCTACTGAAATAAATACTGGTGGGGTACAATAATCTAATCCCTCTTATGCAGTGGTGAAATGTAAAATTTGTTACTACCGGTTCTGTGGGTGTGGCTTGGTGGTGGTGGTGGGGTAATATGACCGAGTGGGTGTGGCCAACCTTTTTTTTTCTTTTTTACTTTTAAAACCATTTTTTGTAATGGTTTTCAGCTGAAGAGGCGGTTAAAAAAATGCTTTTAAAGCCTCTGACGATCCCAGCTGACTTGCCTGATTGGCAGAGGCTTTATTTTTTTTTTAAAAAGCCTCTGATGATTCCAGCTGAGCCCCACGATTATCAGAGGCTTTTTTTTTTTTAACTTTTAAAAGCATTTTTTTGGCCAAAGAAGTGGAAGAAAAAATGCTTTTAAAAATTAAAAAAAAAGCCTCTAATGATTGCGCGGCTCAGCTGGGCAATGGGGGGGGGCAGGGATTTTTGCTATCGGTTCTCCGAACCGCCCACCTCCATCCCTACCGGATCAGGCGATCCGGTCCGAACCGGGAGCATTTCACCCCTGCTCTTATGCGATCATAACTGGAACACGTCAAGTTAATTGGAGATAGAAAGGAGAGATCAAATATTTGGTGGTGATTATTTAGCCAAACAGAAATGGGTCTGCTTTAATTAAAGCTCAATGATGGGTGTGGTGTTTTTTTTTTTAATTTAAATGCTTGGGTGTTATGACTATATTGAAAATGACATGTCAGAAGTCAGAAGCCAGCAGGAACGGTTTAGAAACTTTTTAAAAAAAATTTATTTGTTCATATTTTCAAGATTGGCTCACAAGAACTAGAGATCGGAACCACCACAATAAACGGGGGGAAAATAGGCATTCGGATAAAATACGTGGGACATTTTAACAAATATCAAAATTCAAAGGCCGAAAGGGAAAAGAGCTTTGTTAGAACCGGACAAATGGTTGTAAGATATCAAAACAGCCAGAATTCAATTCTAATAGCAATCTGCTTACAAAAGAACCGGTTAAATACAGATTTAAGTTTTTAAAAAGTGATTATGGCTTAAAGGCCAATGAAAATAATAACCACAAACAAAAATTGAACCCAAGCCTTTGCGGGGTTGTAACTCTGAACTGTCACTAAATGAATGGTTGTAAGTCGAATAGCTGTAGTCCTTGATTTATAACATTCATTTAATGCCACTGTGAGAAAAGTGACTTACAACAATCCTTTCACGTATGGTTGCTGCAAAATCTTCATTGTTTTGTGATCGGGCTTTGGCTGTTACGCAACCAGCATGGATTAATGATGGTTGCAGCGTCCTGGGATCATGTGATCCAGCGGTAGGTTTCACATATTCTTACCACCGGTTCGCCCCGTGTGCACACGCTCACTTTGTGCATGTGATGCCTTCCACGCATATGCCCGGCCTTCCACGCATGTGCCCAACCTCGAAAACGTAGCTAAATAGCTACGTCCGAGCAGGTTCGGGCAGGTACTGCTTCGCCCAAACCGGCTGAATACCTCCTCATATGCTCATCATTTGTGATCTTCCCAACCGACTTCCCATAAGCGAAATCAAGGGTGAAAGCCGGATTCGTTAAACAACAGCATGATTGACTTAACAACGGCTGTCATTCAGTTAACGAACGGTTGTAAAATTGGGCACAACTTACTTAACAACTGTCTTGTCCCATTTGTGATCAAAAGAACGATGCTCGTCTCTGTTTCTTAGCCGAGGGAGCCAGCATTGTCCGAAGACTCTTTTCCATGGTCATGTGGCCAGCATGACAATGCGCCAAGGCGCACAGAACGCTGTTTTTCTTCCCTACCGAAATGGTACCTATTTACCTACTCACATTTGCTTGCTTTCGAACTGCTAGGTGGGCAAGGACGGGAGCTCACTCCGTCGCATAGCACCCGGGTCTCGAACCTGGGCAGTCAGCTTTCCAACTGTCAAACTCAGCATCTTTAAGTGCTGAGTCATCACACCCCCTTAAGTGAAGAACTACCTATAGTTAAACCTGCTCTTGACTCATGATTATGCAATATTTCTTTAAAACAAAACTAGAGCTATTTTGAGCCGCGGTGGCACAGTGGTTAAGAGTGCAGGCTAATTCTGCTGACTGCCAGCTGCCTGCAATTTGGCAGTTCGAATCTCTCCAGGCTCAAGGTTGACTCAGCCATCTGTCCTTCCGAGGTCGGTAAAATGAGGACCCAGATTGTTAGGGGCAATAGGCTGACTGTGTAAACCGCTTAGAGAGGGCTGTAAAAAGCACTGTGAAGAGAATATAAATCTAAGAGCTATTGCTATTGCTACTGTTGTAGTGGGAAAAGGAAGCATCCAGAATCCGAGATTCCCACTCTTCGAGTCAACAATAAAATTCCCTGTTTTATCTATTATTTTGCAAAATCCCTGTTGGACGGTTACAGCTGAGAGCTGGTGACTGACCCAAAACAATCAGCCAATTTTGTGGCTGAGAGTAGACTTGAACATGAGTCTCCTGTTAAAAAGGAAAAAAGAAAACCAAGATAAATAAGAAGGCTCACCTGTTTGAACATCAATGACCATTTGATGCCCGCCTCTCATTCCTGGCCTGCTGTCCTCACCGTCACCTTGTTGGATCAATCAAAACAAAACAACAATCGGCCATTAGTGAGTTTCCATTCTTCTTATTTCCCAGCAAACTAAGCGGCTAAAACACTGAACTTGTCGATCAGAAAGGTCGGCAGTTCGGCGGTTTGAATCCCTAGCACAAGGTCTCCTGTGTGAGTAGGGGGTTGGACTAGATGACCTCCAAGGTCCCTTCCAACTGTGTTATTCTATTACTGTTACTCAGCTGCATTAAAGAAAAAAAAAACTTTGGAATACAGGTAGTCCTTGACTTACAACAGTTTGTATGATCATTCAAAATTACAACAGTCCTGAAAAAAAGTGACTTATGAGTATTTTTTACATTTAACAACTGTTGCAAGCATCCCCACAAGTCCCAGGATCAAATTTCAAAACGTTTGGCAACTGGCTCATATTTACGATGGTTGCAGTGTCCCATAATCCCCTTTTGTGGACTTCTGACGAGCGAAGACATAGGGGAGGTCGGATTCACTTAACAACCGTGTGACTAATTTTAGCGAGTGCGGTGGTTCGCTTAAGAACCGCGGCAAGGAAGGTGGTAAAACGGGGCAAAACCCACTGAAGGACTGCCTTGCTTAACGAGGGAAATTCGGGGTTCAATTGTGGTCGCTGTCAACCCTGAAGCTGACCTGAGCGAGGCCATTTTCTGAGCTTCAGTGTTGCCACACTGGAGCCGAGGGATAGGGACGGAGGAGTAGAGATAGATGGGGTTTTGTAGCCAAAACAAAAGACTTTCTCCTGGGAACCAAGGACATTCCCACAGGTGGTCGGAGAGGAGGAGGAGTCATGTTACCAGGCAACTGGATGACACGATGATTGGACCATGTGACTGGGTGTGTGAAGAAGGGGGAAGAACTCTGCTAATTAGGTGAAAACTGCGGGAATATTCAGAGTCGGTTTTTACCAGCCTGTGCCAATATGATATATCCAATAAACCAGTTCTTTGAGGAATCTACCTGCTTTGGAGTTCTATTTATTATGGGTGTATTACTTGGAACCCTGACAGTCGTAAGTCGAGGACTGCCTGTAAATCATTCCTGGAAAGACATGGTATTATTGGCGGTTGTTAGAAAAAAAATATGCATAAGCCAAAGGCATGGTTAGCTAAAGTAGAAAGGCCTCTTAGCTCAGACCTCCAGAGAGCTGTTGCCTGTCATATCTAACAAGGTTGAGCTAAAATAACCAATGATTCATTCAGTCAATTCTAATAACACAAAGAAGTTGTCTAGCCTTTTTGAGCCATTGATTCTAAAACCACAGGAGCAACTGGTGGTAGGTCCCTCAGTCACCACCCCAAACAAATTGAAATTATACCTTAATCTTATTAATTGCTTTAAGGAGGTAGCCACCCAGTTTTTAATTTATCAATCAAGTTTGCAGGTGGTCCTCGGCTTACGACCGTATCAGAGCTTACCCATTAAGGCCATAAGTCAGAACATTCATACATGTCAACCACACAACTCACACGATTTTATACAGTAGCTCTTTCTTTTAATGGCGGTTGTTAAGCAAATCCATGGTTCACTACGGGCCGTTTTGGGGGGGAAATCGAGAAGGGATTTCTCGATATAGGGGATGCGGTGGCTCAGTGGCTAAGACGCTGAGCTTGTCGATCGAAAGGTCGGCAGTTCAGCGGTTCAAATCCCTAGTGCCGCGTAATGGGGTGAGCTCCCGTTACTTGCCCAGCTTCTGCCAACCTAGCAGTTCGAAAGCGCGTAAAAAAATGCAAGTAGAAAAATAGGGACCACCTTTGGTGGGAAGGGAACAGCGTTCTGTGCGCCTTTAGCATTGAGTCATGCCGGCCACATGACCACGGAGACGTCTTCGGACAGCGCTGGCTCTTTGGCTTTGAAGCGGAGATGAGCACCGCCCCCTAGAGTTGGGAACGACGACCACATATGTGCGAGGGGGACCTTTACCTTTACGAGAAGGGAATGTTGGCTTTCAGCAAAAGTGTCATAAATTGTGATCGTGTGATGCTGCAAAGGGTCAGAAATGGGGGGTCTTTTGCCAAGCTCTCAAAATGCAGTCGTATGAGCAGAGAGAGAGGGGTGTCGTAACTTCAGAACTGGGTCTTTGAGGTCATCTTTTTTGTGGGAATGTCAACCTAACCTCGAATGGTCACTATGTCGTAAGTTGAGGACTACCTGTATATAGTTGGCTATCTTATCAAACGGCGATTCTGGGTGGCATTCCCCCCCATACACACACACAGATATCTCAAAGGCCTGTAGGTAGTCCTCGACTTACAACCATTCATTTAGTGACCATTCAAAGTCACAATGGCACTAAAAAAATGAATTATGCCTGGGGGTTTTTTTGTGTGTGTGTGTTTTGTTTTGTTTTACACTTGTGACCCTTACAGCATCCCCGTACGGATCAAATTTCAGACACCTGGCAACTGACTCATATTTATGACGGTGGCAGTGTCCAGGGGTCATGGGAATCCCCTTTTGCGACCTTCTGACAAGTGAAGACGACGAGGAACCCAGATTGACTTCAGAACCCTGGCAAGAGAGGTCACAAAATGGGGCAAACTCACTTGTCTTGCTTAGTAACGGGAAATGTTGGGCCCGATTGCTGTTGTAAGTCAAGGACCACCTATAGTATCTACCTTGTTGCGTCAATAAGGTCCTCGGAAATAGCTCACGGCAAACCCGGTTTCAATACGGTACCTTTGGTGCTTTTGGGAATGATCTGACCCCATCGTGGTTTGTATTCTTGCTGGCTGATGTACTGGTTGAACAAGCCATCTGTTTGGAAAGAAAAAAAGAAAAGAGTGAGCGGCCACATTCTTCCCATCGCAGCAGCCTCGCAAGGTCGGTTTTGAACGGTTTGCGAAACGGCAGGAGAAAACAAGGGGTTTAACCACCATGGTAGCTTTGTATAAAATTAGATGGAGAATCGGAGGAAAAGGTAAATGAGGGAGGTAAATGTTATTTCGGTATTTTTCAGAGTATAAGACGCACCTTTTTCCCCCCTAAAAGGGGGTGAAAATTTAGGTGCGTCTTATACACCGAATGTAGCACCCGCCCACCCACTGGCCCCCACCCTTTGGCCTCTGCCTCCCAGCAATTTACCTCCTTGCAAGCAAACAGCAAGAAAAAACAGCTTTCAGTTTCAGCACAGGCTAATTAATTAGCACAAGTTGATTGGATCGGCCTCCCGACTCTCAGCTGATTTGCTCTCAGCTGTTTTTCACAGGGCTCTGCTGCTTGCTGCAAAGAGGTAAATTTGCTGGAGCAGATTTTTTTTCCCCTTGTGCTAATCAAGCTCTGCTGAAAACAAAAATGAAAGTAAAGCAGGCTGTTTGCTGCAAGGAGGCAAAATTGCGCAGAGGCAGAGGGAGATTTCCTTTTCTTCTTTTCCTCACCAAAAAAGGTAGGTGCGTCTTATACTCCGGTGCATCTTATACTCCGAAAAATATGGTAAATAAACCGTATTATAGTTGTGTAAGCGCATCCAGTAGGTAGGAAAATTCCTGTCACCTGCTACGTGGGGGGAAAGATAAGGTGACTGAATAAAGGGGTCACAGGGACGACTCACATAAAGGCAGATTTCCAAGGGAAATAAGACTGATAGAAGACAATATTTCTAGCTCAGAATCGAACTGTGAGGTCCTTAGTGCTCCCTGAGCTTGTTTGTTTTCTTGGGGTCATGTTTCATGACCCAACTAGGTAACATCATCAGTGCTAGAAAGGAGTGGAGTTTGTGGAGAGGAGGAGGAGGAGGAGGAGGAGGAGGAGGAGGAGGAGGAGGAGGAGGAGGAGGAGGACAACAACGACGACTGTGGGGTCTTTGGTGCTCTTTGAGCTTGGTGGTTTTCTTAGAGACATTTCATTACCCAACTAGGTAACATCATCAAAGAAACGTCTGCAACAAAACCAACAAACTCAGAGTGCACCAATGACCCGACAGTCATTGTCCTCTTTCTCTAGCTTCTCCTCTCCACAATCCTCATCCCTTCTAGCACTGATAACGTTATCTAGTTTGGTAATGAAACGTCTCCAAGAAAACCACCAAGCTCAAAGAGCACCAAGGACCCCCTCACGGTTTTGGATGATTCACTAAAATCATATTTTGAAATACGGTACAGATCACGTCTTGAATCAACATCAATCCATGATAGGGGTTTATATGCAACATACGACATTCCGCCATTCAAAACATGGGCGTCTGTGAGGCCCAATCCTGGAAAACAAACCCAGATCCTTAAACCATCATCCACTTAAATCTCCCTTCCATAGGGATTGTAAAGTCAAGACAGGAAGAGAACAATCTACAACACCCCAAGTAAAACTCGTTGCTTTCAGTGGCTAAGGAAACTATCTATCTATCTATCTATCTATCTATCTATCTATCTATCTATCTATCTATCTATCTATCTACCTACCTACCTACCTACCTACCTACCTACTTACCTACCTACCTACCTACATATATATATATATATAGCAATTTAATAGGATGTATTCCCAACTTTTCACATGCCAAATGAGACAAAAAACAAGAGGACTACAGTCTTTTCTGGTTGGTAAGAAAATGTCCTTTTCTTTGGAATTAATCTGCCTCCAGTAATAAATCTCATAGTCCAGAAATAAAACAGAGAGCAGCCTAACAAGAACTTCAGCAAAAGGAGGAGACGGTTTCAGTCAACCGAATATCATACCCTCCAGCAAATCGTAGGGAAAATATTATTTTTTGTGGCCTTCTCTTCAACTAGTCCCGTCCCTGGTACATTTAAAACGTATTTTCGCTGGGGAAAAAAAATGCACGGGCACTTGGATAGATCTTCAGATCTTCTACCATTCCGGTCCCCAGCCAGAAGAGATCATAGCTGTTTTGCAACAGCAGGACAGATGCATAAGATAAAAGCAGGCTTCTCATCTTATCAAGATTAAAGGCATTCCCCCACCCCCCCAAACAAATCAACCGACATCTAGCCGAGAAAGGTGGCCCATATTATCTCTTAACTTTAGAGTTGGTTCCAGCAATCTTGCAGTATAGATAGTCCTCAACTTACGACAACAATTAAGGATTAACTTCCTATTAATTGATTGATTAAGAAGAAACTTCCTAACAGGGAGAACAATTAACCAGAAATCGTGGGTGGTCCATCACTGGAGGTTTTTAAGAAGAGACTGGACAGTCACTTGTCTGAAATGGTACATGATCTCCTGCTTGAGCAGGGGGCTGGACTAGAAGACCTCCAAGGTCCCTTCCAGTTGTATTCTGATTGATTGATTGAATTGAGCCCAAAATTTCTGTTGTTAAGTGAATCACGGCACTGGTTAAGGTAGTAACACGGTTGTTAAGTAAATCTTAATGCATTGTGAGCCACCCTGAGTCTTCGGAGAGGGGCAGCATACAAATGAATGAATGAATGAATGAATGAATGAATGAATGAATGAATGAATGAATAAATCAATAAATAAATAAATACATCTGGCTTCCCCACTGACTCTAAAGCAGGGGTGAAATGCTCCCGGTTCGGACCGGATTGCCCGATCCGGTAGCGATGGTGCTGGGTGGTTCGCAGAACCGGTAGTAAAACTCCCTGCCCCCACCCCCATTGCCCAGCTGAGCCGTGCAATTTATTTATTTATTTATTTATTTATTTATTTATTTATTTATTTATTATTTATTTATTATTTATTAATCAAATTTCTATACCGCCCTACTCCCGAAGGACTCAGGGCGGTGAACAGCCAAGATAAAATACAGATAATACAAATATTAAAAAATCCCTTAAAATTATTAAATATATCGGCCGAAACACAGATTAAAACACCCAATTTGTAAAATCACGAATTAAAAAATTAAAAAATTTAAAAGATGGGAGTTAGGCCAGGCCAGCTTGCTGAAATAGAAAAGTTTTGAGAGCACGGCGAAACGTGCGCAGGTCCGGGATCTTCCGTATCTCTGGGGGGAGCTCGTTCCAGATGGTAGGTGCCCCCACAGAGAAGGCTCTCCCCCTGGGGGCCGCCAGTCGACACTGTTTGGCCGAGGCTTTTTTTTTTTCATTTTTAAAAGCATTTTTTCTACAACCTCTTTGGCCAAAAAAATGCTTTTAAAAGTAAAAAAAAAAAAAAAAGCCTCTGATGATCGCGCGGCTCAGCTGGGATCATCAGAGGCTTTTAAAAGCATTTTTTCTACAACCTCTTCAGCTGAAGAGGTTATAGAAAAAAATGTTTTTAAAAGGAAAAAAAGCCTTTGCCGATCAGGCAAGTCAGCTGGGATCGTCAAAGGCTTTAAAAGCATTTTTTTTTACAACCTCTTCAGCTGAAGAGGTTGTAGAAAAAATGGTTTAAAAAATTTAAAACAAAAAAGTTGGCCACGTCCAGTCAGTCATATTACCCCTTTTTTAAAAAGCCTCTGTCGATCAGGCAACTCAGCTGGGATCGTCAGAGTCTTTTGAAAGCGAAGAGGTTGTAGAAAAAATGGTTTTAAAAGTTTAAAAAAAAAATTGGCCATGCCCACCCTGTCACATTACCCCCCCACACACCAAGCCACGCCCACAGAACCGGTAGTAACAAATTTTAGATTTCACCACTGCTGCAAAGGAATTGAAAACCCATTTGGGTTTTCTGCTGACAGATCTCTTTTGCAAAAGCCAAGTCTGTCTGTTTTCCACATGAGTTGCTTGAAGAGGAGGAAAAAAAAGTGTTACGTCAAAATTAGCCCCTCGAGGCTTACTTTCAAGAGATGGGCAGAATTTGGAAATGGGGAAGGAAGCATCTAAATAGAATTGCATTTATTTATTTATTTATTTATTTATTTATTTATTTATTTATTTATTTATTTATTTATTTAAAAAGTTTTTTTTTATTTTTTTTTAGACAAACACATATACAAACATACAACGTATTTTCTTTGAACAGAGTATTGGGCCGGTTTACAAATCTAAACAATATTTAGTCATTTCAATTAAATTTACAATTTCTATATTTCCTTTTTGCCATAGGTATTCCTTAGCTATTTTTTTTTAAATCCTAAAGAATTGTTTGTCACATGACCATCAAACCACGCCCACAAAATAAGCCATGCCCACAGAACCGGTAGTAAAAAAAAAATTTAGAACCCACCCCTGCTTGGAACCCTGACATCTTGTTTAGCTACAGAAATGTTGGGCTCAATAAGTGGTTGTATGTTGAGGACTACCGGTACACTGTATACACAGCTGTTTTTCAGGCGATGAAAATGACAACCCAGCCGGCTCTAGGATCATAGAGAAAGGCCCTCGAGCAACGTGAGAAGTGAATGCAAAATAAACAGGAAGCTTTGCACTCTGTTTGGACTTGTCAGCCACCCGCGGTGCGGAAAACAATAGCAACGCCGAGAGTTAGAATGAAGCCAAGCAGTTATGACACAACACAAATCACAGGCTAAAGGCAGCAGCCTTCCCCAACAGATCACCCACCAGATGCCCCGAGGTTGCAATTCCCAGAATTATCTCCACATTCCCAAAATACTTGGAGCTTTAAAACAAAAAACAAAAAGCCACGAATTCATCAGCTTCCTAACTCTAGACTGGTGATGGCTTAACCTTTTTGCTGTCGCGTGCCAAAAGCACGGGGAGCGGGGGGGGGTCGCACACATGCGTGCCCACTCCCATAATTCAATGCCCCCATACACACCCTGCACACGAGCATGCGACACCCCCACCCCGCTACCCCCACTTTTGGCACGTGACGGCAAAAAGGTTAATGGTGGGCCCGGTAGGCCCGTTTTTCGCCCTTCCCAGACTCCAGAGGCTTCCTTGGAGCCTGGGGAGGGTGCAAACAGCCTCCCCCCCACCCCAGGCCCTCCGGAGACCGGAGATGCCCATTTCCCAACTTCCAGTGGGCCCGGAAGGCCCAAAAATCAGCTGGCCGACGCGTTGGAGCTGAGTTACGGCAATGCTCACGTGCCCACTGATATGGCTCCGCGTGCCACCTGTGGCACCCATGCCATAGGTTCACCATCACGGCTCTAGACCGTCAGAAATGCCTCTGGCCTTCCTCCCAAACTGTCAGCCCTGCCCCAGTTTGCTCTTCCGTTTCGATTCCATTTGTAGCGAAAAGATGAGTTTTACTAGAAGCCAAGTGGTTACAACGAAGCAAAGCCAGAACTGAGGTTTTGCGCGCGAATATTGCCCAGTTCATCTTCCTTCCCTGTTACCTCCCGATTGTCCATTCACATTCAAAGAAGTTGTTCTGGTAACTATTCCTGCAACGGCGGGTTAGATGGTGAATCTTCATCTTCCATTCCTAAACCTGCGGCCTTGGGATAGGTCTATGACAACTCACCCTGGTGAACCGGCCACAACCAACTCACCGCAGCCAAGTTGCTGCGGCCAACTCACCGCAGGACAACTTGCCATGGCCAATTCGCCGTGAAACAAGAATTACACTAATATCGAATAAACAAGTCTAACACAGTGAGGCTCCAATCTTTTGGGCACCAGGGACCAGTTCCGTGGAGAGGGGTTCTTCCGTGGACTGGAGGGGGTGTGGTTTTGTGTGCTGCCTGCATCCCTCAGATGGGACTTCGCTTGTTTGCATGGACCGGTTGCTGGCTTGCCGCAGCCCGGTGTTGGTCCAAGGATTGGGGGTTGGAGACCCCCAGGTCCAATAGAATCATTAGAGAAAAGATGCCAAAGAAGGGGACAAAATAAAATGCGAATGGCCAAACTTTAAATAATTTTTAAAATTATTTTAAATAATTAAATGAGCCATGGTAGCGCAGTGGTTGGAATGCAGTACTGCAGGCTACTTCTGCTGGCTGCCGGCAATTCGATTCTCACCGGCTCAAGGTAGACTCAGCATTCCATCCTTCCAAGGTCGGTAAAATGAGGATCCAGATTGTCAGGTGCAATAGGCTGACTCTGTAAACCGCTTAGAGAGGACTGTAAAAGAACTGTGAAGCGGTATATAAGTGCCATTGCTACTGCTATCATCCATCTATCTGTGGTGGCACAGTGATTAGAAGGCAATATTGCAGGCTTAATTCTGCCGACTGCCGGCGGTTCGATCCTGACTGGCTCAAGATCTACTCAACCTTTCATCCTTCCGAGGTTGGTAAAATGAGGACCCAAACTGCTGGGAATAATAGGCCGATTCTGTAAACCGCTTAGAGAGAGCTGTGAAGCATGTGAAGCGGTATATATTCTAAGTGCTATGGCTACTGCTAAATTGAATTGTTCCGCAGCGATCTGTCCTGTGGCAAGCAGGCCATGGCGAGTTGGCTGTGGTAAGCTGTCCCGTTTCGCCTTGGGATGGTGAACCTACATCTCAGGACAGCACGATGGGTAATTTCTGTTTCCCCCCTTCCCCAACTCCCACCCCCCGCCCATAGTTTATGGCAGGCTGGCATCTCTTTTGACCAAGGCTTCCTGAGACAGTAACAATCACACGCTTAGTCCCCTCTTTTTATTTCACCGGCTGTGAATTACGTTCGTTCACAGCCCATAATGAGTCCCAAGCAGTTTGTGAATAGTCCGACAGAAGTCTGCCACAGTCCTTCGGGATAAGGCGGAGAAGCACCCACCTTTATCTCCCTTGACACGCTGCCAAAGACCTAATTGCCAATTAGCTTTGCAAGGCCAAACAGAGCACAGACTCAAAACGGAGCTTCAGAGTTTAAACCAACCAGAACGAACAAAGTTGCTTCCTGCAAAGGCTCATGTCCCTTTGCTCCATCTTTATGTCTTATGGGAGGGGCCAATCATTTCCAAGCCTTACTCCCGAGTCGCCCCTTTTGTCTTAACTGTTCTTGCCTTCTGGCAGCTCTGCGCATGCGCACACTGGGAACAGGCTCCCCCTGTTCTTCTGCCTCGCTGATGTCAGACTCTGGAGGCTCCAGAGTCAGCACATAACTCCCAGATGGCCCTGGCCCCATCTCTGCTTCCGACGCAGAGCCTTCATCCGAGCCTTCCCCAGACTCCAGGACTGGCCCATGTTCCTCCCCAGACTCCTCACTGTCCAACTCTGCTGCCAGCTCCGCAAGCTGCCGGCGGACCATAACAGCATCTAGCGAAGGAGGGCTGGAGCAGGATGGCAGTTGTGACACAACCCTTTGGGAACTCACCATTCACAGCTTTTTCTATCAACTCTTCGCACGCGTTGAAGTCTCCCTTCAGGACCAGTTTCTCGTGAAGGTCGGTCAGCATGGGGTGTTCCAGGGCGATCTTGGTTTTCTTCTGTAGGGACTCGAACGCCTCCGTGTAATTGTGTTGACGAAAGTGCTTCAAGCAGAGGCGAATGGCTTCCTGTTCACGGTACTACTGGAACACAAGAAAACCTATGAGAACAGCACCGAAGAGGGTCCCGCAGGTGGCCTTGCAAGAGCAAAGCTTAGGTCACAGGAAAATCAAAATCCTCGGAAGGACAGGCTTAGCAGAATGATATACAGGTAGTCCTCAATGTACGACTGCAATTGAACCCAAAATTTATGCTGCTAAGAGTTGTTGAGTGAGTTCTGCCCCATTTTACAACTCTTCTTGCCTCCCTCTCTCCCCCTCCCTCTCTCTTAACCTCCTTCCCTCTCTCCCCTTCCTCCCTCTCCCCTTCTTCCCTCTCTCCCCCCAGCCTCCCTCTCTTAACCTCCCTCTCTCTTTCCCTCCCAGCCTCCCATTCGCTTAACCACCTTCTCCCTCCCTTCCAACCTTCTTTCCTCTCTCCCCTCCCTCCCTCTTTCCCTCCCTCCCACTTTCTCTTTCTCTCTCCCTCCAGCCTCCCTCCCTCCCCCTCCCTCCCAGCCTCCCATTCTTTTAACCCCCCTCTCCCTCCTTCTCTCTACCTCCCTCTCTCCCAACCTTCTTTCCTCTCTCCCTTTCCTCCCTCTTTCTCTCCCTCCCTCTCCCTCTGTCTCGCTCTCTCTCTCCCCCAGCCTCCCTCCTTTCGTCCCTCTCTCATACACAACATCCACCTATCTGGAGCTGCTTCAGACACAGGTTACAATCCTACCTTGCTGTACCAATTGAGACAGGGCTGTACCACATCTGGATCATCAATACCGTTGAGTTCAACATACCAGATGCTAAAATTGAAGCTGGGACCCCAGGACAGGAGCGGAACTAAAAAAAAGAAGGACCAAGAAATTACATCGCCCTGAAATATGAATTCCTGCTGACTACAGATATTCTTGCCCTGCTATTCTCTGTCACGATGCCTCCTAGGCAACTTCACAGCTCCAGTCCGTTCAAGAACACAGGACAAAGTTTGAGGATGTGATTATCAAAATAATAGAATTTGCTGCCTTTCTATACTTTGCTTTTGCAATTTTTCATTCTGGGAATAAGATTCCAAATCCAGCAGTGTCTTTAGAAGAGTTCCTTGTAGAAGAACAACAAAAGATGATTAGGGGACTGGAGGCTAAAGCATACGAAGAATGGTTTCAAGAATTGAGTTTGTCTAGTTTAATGAAAAGAAGGACTAGGGGGTGACACGATAGCAGTCTTCCAATATCTAAGTGGCTCCCACAAGAAAGGGGGAAGGGGGTAAAACTATTTTCCAAAGCATTAAAAGGCAAGACAAGAAACAATGGTTTGAAACCAACCAAGGAGAAAAGCAACCTAGAACCAAGGAAAAATTTCCTAACGATGAGAGCAATTAATCAGTGGAACAGTTTGCCACCAGAAGGTATGGATGTCAGCATTCTGATGCTGCCATAAAAAGACGAGGCTTGACTTTTCACCTACTTATTTTCTCTGTAGATAATATCCTCTAGGAGATGGGAGGGGAGGGGAGAACATTCCTGTGGGGTGAGGTCAGAAGCTGGCTGACTTGGAAGATGGCCAATGAGAAGATGAGAATTGGGGAATGGAAAGGGAAGGGTTTGGGGGTCAGAGGGTTAGTATCGGCTACGACGAAGTCGGGGCCAGATCTGTCGTACTCAATAAATGGAATATCTTAGCAAAGATTAATTGTTTGGGAGTGCAATTTATTTGAGATGACATCGAAACCTGACAATGAGTGCTCCAACACTGGAAATTTTTAAGAAGAGATGGGATAACCATTTGTCTGAAATGTTATAGGGCCGTGACGGCAAACCTATGCCATGCGTGCCACAGGTGGCACATAGAGCCATATCAGTGGGCACACGAGCTCAGCTCTGGTGCGCGCTGATTTTCAGGCCTTCTGGGCCCACCGGAAGTAGGGAAACAGGCTGTTTCCTGCCTCCAGAGGGACTGGGGGGGGGGGAACGGCCCATTTTTCACTCTCCCTAGGCTCCAGAGCCTTTTTAGGAGCCTGGGGAGGGTGAAAACGGCTTTCCCCCATCCCCCTAGAGTCCGGAAATGGCCTGTTTGCCGACTTCCGACTTCTTTTTCTGGTTTTCCTCACCAAAAAAGGTAGGTGCGTCTTATACTCCGAAAAATACGGTAATCTCCTTTCCATAAGTATTGCAAGATATGGTGGCGTAGTGGTTAGAGTACAATACTGCAGGCTACTTCTGCTGACTGCTGGCTGCCTGCAATTTGGCAGTTCAAAGCTCACCAAGGTCAAGGTTGACTCAGCCTTCCATCCTTCCGAGGTGGGTAAAATGAGGACCCAGATTGTTGGGGGCAATAGGCCAACTCTGTAAACCGCTTAGAGAAGGCTGTAAAGCACTGAGAAGCGGTATATAAGTCTAAGTGATATTGCTATTGCTGCTAAGATCAAGGAAAGAGGAGAGGAATCTGCAACATCCTGACTTCCTAAGAACAAAGAGCAAATTAAAATACGGGGACTTTCTAACGACAAGGGCCAGCTTTGCCAGAGAATTAAAATGCCTTCCATTAGAGCTTGTTATTTCAAAAGCATTTGAGGGGGGTTGCCCTTTAGCATCAAAACACAGAGTTCCTCACCGCAACAGAAATAAAGCCTAATGAATGCCAAGAGCATTTCAAATCATGCCACTGCTTATACAGCTGTGCTTCTCAGGCAGGAGAAATCTGAAATAATGGGAGTCATCACACAGGGGGAACGTCTCAACGCCATGTGTTATGCAAATCGGTGTGAAGGCAATATAGACAGATGATTTTTATAGAGAAGCAATTGCGTTCCTGACACCATCCCTTCGATCGCTGCGAATGAAGCATTGTGGTTGTGTGTTGAAGGAAAGGGACACGGGCAAAGGCTGAATTTGGCCCAGTTCCCAGTTGGGAACTGGGCAATGATAACCACCAGAACACTGAAGCTTATGATAGGTAATGGATGGATAGATAAGATTGGATGGATGGATGGATGGATGGGTGGGTGGATGGGAGATTACATAGGTAATGCATGGATAGATAAGATTGGATGGATGGATGGATGGATGGATGGATGGGATGGGAGATTAGGTAGGCAATGGATGGATAGATAAGATTGGATGGATGGAGGGAGGGATGGGATGGGAGATAAGTAATGGATGTATAGAAAAGATTGGATGGATGGATGAGAGGGGGAGGGAGGGGGGAGGAAGGAAGGAAGGAAGGAAAAGAAAGAAAGAGAGAGGGAAGGAGGGAGAGGGGGAGGGAGGAAGGAAGGAAGGAAGGAAGGAAGGAAGGAAGGAAGGAAGGAAGCTAACTACTGGAACATTCGGGCCAACAGTTAAATTATTACCACATTACGGCAAAAAGTAAAAAAAAAAAGTTTTAAAAAATCTCAGCTTATATGTTCAGCTTCGCCTAGAGCAATAAATAAATAAATAAATAAATAAATAAATAAATAAATAAATAAATCAATCAATCAATCAATCAATCAATCAATCAATCAATCAATCAATCCACAGCCAGTCACCCTTTGCAGCCACATCAATTTCAGAGAGCAAAGAACAGAAAGCAGGTTTTTTTTAAAAAAAATGCCTCCCATCAGACCAACCAGGTTTGAAATACAAAACAAGCTTTTGCACTGTGACAGTTTCTTCCCTCTTGGTAACGAAGAACAGCTTCCTCTGACTACTCAAGAGGGAATCAGCCCCTGGGAAACAGCTAACGAAAGAGGACCAAGGCGGGACGAGAACTCACCGTCCTCTGCTGATTAGCCCAAAGTCACTGAGTCAGGTTTCATGTCTAAGATTGGACTAGGACTAGGACTAGAACTCACAGTCTCCGTTTTCTACTAACTTGTAATAGGAGGACTTTTATCTCATAAATATCTTTATTCTGCTTGTCAGAACACTAGAATTCCAACACACTGAGGGCAAACAGTCAAACACAGTTCTCTAATGAATGAGCAAAAACAGGGAGGGAGGAAGGAAGGGAGGGAGGATGGAAGGAAAAGAGAGAGGAAGGAAGGAAGGGAGAAAGGGAGGGAGGGAGGAAAAGAGGGAGGGAGGAAGGAAGGAAGGGAGGAAGGAAGGAAGGAAAAGAGGAAGAAAAAGAGGGAGGGAGGGAGGGAGGAAGGAAGGAAAGAAGGAAAAGAGGAAGGAAAGAAGGTGGGAAGGAAGGAAAAAAGGGAGGAAAGGGGAAAAAACAAGGAAGGAGAAAGGGAAAGTGAAGAGGAAGAAGGAGGAGGAGAAGGAGAAGGAGAAGGGCCATTCATATCAACACTCCCATTATTTCGATAAGCTCCTGCTCCTGCCGAACGTGTGGCATTTTGTTCTCAACAGAACCCTTCAATCTCTTCTTCAGCCTCCGTCAGACCAGAAAGCATCGGAAGGCAGAAGACATAAACATTCCAAAATAAAAAACAGAAGCAGCGGGCGAAGAGCCCAAGAGCCGCGATACAGCACAAGGGGATGAGCGGGATTCCAAAACCTGTCACGCCAACGGCCTTAACCCCAAACAGATGCAACTCAGATATATTAGCGGAGGATGAAGCATACCTCCCCCCCACCCCCCGTCTCCCAGCTTAACAGACAGGACCACCCAACAATCGGGGTGCAAAACAAACTCGGATGCCTGGGCTTTATGCAAACAAATCCAAGTTCCAGCCACCCAGAGACAACTGCCTAAGCTTGCATCACAACATTTCCAACACAGAGATTCACTGCCCTTTTCCCTTTAAGATGCCCCTCCCGGAGGGGTCGCCAACAAGAATGTGTGACTTCCTTGAGATGGTTGTGCAAATTGGAGTTGTCTATCGATGTTTTATCTTTAACACGTTAACCGTGTTACTCTAAACCGGGGGTCCCCAACCTTTCCGGCACCGGGGACCAGGTTTCGTGGAAGACAATTTTCCCCCGGATTGGGGGGCGGGGGGTACATTAGAGGAAGAGTGTGCAACCTGTATTGTACACATATGCAGTTTTGCACACCCCTCACTCACCTCCAGCTGTGAGACCCGGTTCCTAACAGGCTGCGGGCGGATAATGGTCCACAGCTTGTTAGGATTGTGGACCTCTGCTCTAAAGATCTTGCACATCTATCGCAAGTTAGGGGCATTATTTGGAAACGAAGGGAATAATAGTCCTTCAAGTGTCATATAGATATGAAGACACCTGGCAAATAGATGGGGAAGAAATGGAGGTAGTGACACATTTTATTTTCCTGGGCTCCAAGATCACCGCAGATGGGGACTGCAGCCAAGAAATTAAAAGACGCTTGCTCCTGGGGAGAAAAGCCATGGCAAATCTAGACAGCATACTAAAAAGCAGAGACATCACCCTGCCAACAAAAGAGCGTATTGTCAAGGTTTTCCCAGTTGCAATGGATGGCTGTGAAAGTTGGACCATAAGGAAGGCTGAGCGCCCAAGAATTGAGGCCTTTGAACTCTGGTGCTGGAGAAGACTTTTGTGAGTCCCTTCGACTGCAAGGCGATCCAACCGGTCAGTCCTAGAGGAGATCAACCCTGACTGCTCTTTAGAAGACCAGATCCTGAAGATGAAACTCAAATCCTTTGGCCACCTAATGAGAAGGAAGGACTCCCTGGAGAAGAGCCTAATGCTGGGAACGATGGAGAGCAAAAGAAGGGGACGGCAGAGAAGGAGGTGGCTGGATGGAGTCACTGAAGCAGTCGGTGTGAGCTTCAATGGACTCCAGAGGATGGTAGAGGACAGGAAGGCTTGGAGGAACGTTGTCCATGAAGTTGCAATGGGTCAGACACAACTTCGCAACTAACAACAAAAGGTGTCATATTTAATTAAATGAATACGCCGTTTCTGCTGACGTAGGTATGCCACCATCCTGCCCCAAACAAAATGCTGAAGATGACAATAAAAGCAACACAATTAAAACCGACGAACCGTTCATGGTGGAAGAGATGCGATTTTAGCATTTTCCTAAAAGCCGGCTCCAAAGAGCCTCCTCCCTGTATATTAAGCACTAGGGTTTCTGCTGATCTTAAGGATCCAGGCAGTTTCTTAAAAGACGTTAAAATATTTATTTTCCCCTTTTTTTCAATTTTCGGTGGCTGTTTAGAGAGTGTTTCCTTTTTATTTTCTAACTTTTTGTGTGTAAAAATAGTTTTTTTTAAAAAAAAAAAAACAACAACCCCACTTTCTAAACAGTCCCGGGGGAATAAATATTTTTTAAGTTTTTACATACAAATGTTAAAAGAATTTATGCAACCGAGGATCATGTTGGGTAAATTAGAAATTCCTGCCAACATGGCAGTTTTATTACATCCCATCTAGAGGATAAAGACTGAGAAAGAATGTCCCAGGGGCTTCAATTTACATTATTAGTTTATTTGATTTTTATCCCACCCTTATTACTTTGTAAGTAACTCAAGGCAGCGAATGTATCTAATACTTCTTCCTCTTCCTCTTTTCCCTAAAACAATAAACAATAAGAGGTGGGAGAGACTGACTGATCCAAAGTCACCCAGCCGGCTTTGATGCTAAAGGCAGAACTAGAACTCACAGTTTCCTAGTGAATGGCCCAAAGTCACCCAGGTGGCTTTCATGTCTAAGATAGGGCTAGAACTCACCGTCTCCTGGTGGTTGGCCCAAAGATACCCAGAAGATATTGGTGCCTAAGGCAGGACTATAACTCACAGTCTCCTGGTGATTGGCCCAAAGTCACCCAGCTGGTTTTCGTGCCTAAAGTGGGACTAAAACTCACCATCTCCTGGTTTTTAGGTAGCACCTTAAGCACTACACCTAATTGGCTCTTCCTGTGGTACGAGTTCCTCAAGGGATACTTTTACTAATACTCCTTTTTATGTTGAAGGCAACTGACAATCAGAATAATCAAGAAATCTCTCCACTGAAATAGAATAGAATAGAATAGAATAGAATAGAATAGAATAGAATAGAATAGAATAGAATAGAATAGAATAGAATAGAATAGAATAGAATAGAATAGACGAGTTGGAAAGGACCTTGGGAGGACTTCTAGTCCAACCCCGTTTAGGCAGGAAACCCTATACCACTTCAAGACAAATGGTTATCCAACATCTTCTTTAAAACTCCCAGTGTTGGAGCATTCACAACTTCTGGAGGCAAGGAGTTCCACTGATTAATTGTTCTCACTGTCAGGAAATGTCTCCTGAATTCCAGGTTGCTTCTCTCTTTGATTAGTTTCTACCCATTGCTTCTTGTCCAACCCTCAGGTGCTTTGAAGAATAGTTTGACTGCCTCTTCTTTGGGGCAGCCCCTGAGATATTGGAACACAGCTATCATGTCTCCCCTAGTCCTTCTTTTCATTAAACTAGACATACCCAGTTTCTGCAACCATTGTTCACATGTTTTAGCCTCCAGTCCCTTAATCACCTTTGTTGCTCTTTTCTGCACTCTTTCCAGAGTCGCCACATGTTTTTTACATCGTGGCGACCAAAACTGAATGCAATATTCCAAATGTGGCCTTACCAAGGCATTATAAAGTGGTATTAACACTTCACGTGATCTTGATTCTATCCCTCTGTTTATGCAACCTAGGACTGTGTTGGCTTTTTTGGCAGCTATTGCACACAGCTGGCTCCTATTTAAATGGTTGTCCACTAGGACTCAGCAAATGATCAGCAAGACGCTCCCAGTCAATGCCCCACAGCAATTTGTCAAGAGAGAAAGGGACCGAGTCTTAAAAACTGCAGGGAGCACAACAATATAACAAGCAAGAGTGGTTTTTTCCCAATCATCATGACTTTAAGATGGGTAGACTTCAACACCAGCATTCCCCAACTAGCTTTTACAAATCCATCTTAAAGCTACAAAGTGGAGGAGAAGGATGTGGCAGAATCTGGGTGGTGGAGTTAAAAGAGGGATCAGCCTAGAATCTGTACGTAACCAATAACAAGCTAAATCCAGCCGCCCTTGAATTCCATCAGCCCTTACCTAGCACCAAAATAGCGCTAACATTAGTTGAGAATATTCCTGTACATATTGTAGGCATAAGTAGTAATCAATCAGATTAACTGCACCTTCATGAGTGGGCTTGATATTTCACTACTGACACCAAGATGGTTGAGAAACGGGGAGCAAGATTTAGAGATGGAAACACTAAAAAAAAAAAGCAAGAAAATAATGACAGATTTACCTATTTTAATAAATCGACAAGGGAACATCTGCTCATCGATTTTGTGCTTCAAAGTAAATGTTTCTTTGTTATAGTCATTCTTTAAGCCGCTGTGAAGAAAAAAAAACAAAGCATGAAAGGTTATTCAAGGTGACCTAGAATTTGAAGTGAATTAGTAGACAGGTTTTATATACGATAAGCTGGCAGCTACAAAAGGCCATTAAGGCCAAGAGCCTTGGTAGCGCAGCAGACTAAAGCACTGTTAAGTGACACCAGCTGCCTGCAATTACTGCAAGTTCAAATCTCACCAGGCTCAAGGTTGACTCAGCCTTCCATCTTTTCGAGGTAGGTAAAAATGAGGATCCGGTTTGTGGGGGCAATAAGATGACTTTGTATAAAAAAGAACACCGCTTGGGGGCGGGGGCAAAAGCCCTACTAAGCAGGTATATACAAAAGTATGAAGGCTATTGCTTAACGCATTGTAAGCTGCCCTGAGTCTCCGGAGAAGGGCGGCATATAAATCGAACCAATAAATAAATAAATAAATAAATAAATAAGGGCCAGAAGGCCGTCACCAATAATCCTGACTAGGCAAATTTTCTTTTCTGTACATCATTTCTCCTACATTTTAAGTTAGCATGTCAGGTTTGAACATCTTGGAGAGTCAATATATCAAAAATCAATCTGCATACTTAAAGATTTAATTTGACAATCGATTGATCAATTTGGAAGCATTTTTCAATCTCTATCTAAAATAATTCTACGGTGCTTTGAAAACGCGCACAGAACCTAAAAGTAATAGAAAATATTTCAGTTCTCTTATGCAAAATCCCATCATCAATCTTGGGGTGTTCACAATTATGTAAGCCAAGCAGCAAAAAAAAAAAATCTTGGTTTGCGGTCTCTGCTATTTATAATGGTATAGATACATTCCTTCGACTTACAACCAGAATAGAGCTCAAAATTTCCACAGCTAAATGAGATGGTTGTTAAGCGAGGTTTGACTCGTTTTACAATCTTTCTTGCCACGGCAAAGGGAACCACTGCAGTTGTTAAATTAGCAACATGGCTGTTAAGGGGAATCTGGCTTCCCTGTTGACTTTGCTTGTCAGAAGATTAGCAAAAGGTGATCACATGACCTGTGTGTCATAAATACATGGCAGGTGCCAAGCATTTAAATGCTGACCACATGATTATGGGGATACTGCAACGTAAGTGCAAAAACTGGCCATTTTTTTTTTCAGTGCCGTTGTTACTTCAAACGGTCACTAAATGAATGACTATCTGTATTGGGTCCACCAAGGACATGTACAAAAAAAAAAAGAAAGAAAAGAAAACATAAGCCATACCGAAAGGGGCAAAGGAATGAGATTTTTATTCCCCGCTTAAAATATTAAAACCAGACTTTCAGCTTTCTTTCTTTTTTTTATTGAAAAAGTTTTTCAAATACAGATTTTTCCCCTTTTCCCCCCCCCTCCTCCCTAACCCCCCCTCCCCCTCCCTCCCCCTGTGGCTTCTCCAGAATAAAACCCAAATTAATAACAGATTATATAATACTTTACCATCCTTTTTACTCCACCCCACATATGCTGACCCTTTCTTTCTAACAATATTATTATATCCCCCTTAGACTATACATTTCAAAGCAACATTCAACTGTAAAATTATATAATAAATCCTAATTTGGCAATTTCAACTCATAATCTATCCATTTCCTCCTCCCCATACATATATCTCTTAATTCAAATCTTTTACGTATATTAATATAACATAACATCCCTTTTCCTAAACTAAACAATCAGTAAGATAGCCTATCTCACACCCACTTTCCTGCAGGTCTACCATACATAATATTTTCAATATCTTTGTTCTTCTGTCCACACCACTAAAAAAAATTTCCATATATAGATAAAATCCTCAAATGACTTTAAGCTTGTAATCCATATGGTATCTTCTGTAATGTCTTTCAGCTGGATTGTTAATTCCATCACCCATGTCAGCTTTCTTAGTCTTGTTATTATGATAGGCACCAAAAGACGTGGAAACCACAATCCTACCTTGATAAAAGATCAGTCATGTTTTCTTCATTCATTCCACCAAAGACTTTAAATTTTTTTAAATTACAGACGTGAGTCTTTTCGTATTTCCCGAATGTGATGCTCTGAACTACAGACGGCCTTTCCAGTTTCAAGATCAAATACTAGAAGAGAAGAAAACATGGGCATGTAAATATATATATTGGGGTTGACCAGGTGCTTCGATAGAAAAACACTTAATCTCTACCCTGGCTCAAGCTGATAAACGGAGGAGAACTTGTGGCTCGGAGGTTAATACAACTGCCTAATATGCAGGCAGCCCAAGTTCAAATCCAGGTAAGGGTATGGTTAGCTGAGGAGAGCTAAATAGCTTGAAATAGATCTATACTAGTCTCCCTTTATTTCTTTATCAGCAAATATAAATTTGGTATAAAAATGGTTTGTTGTGATTGTGACTGCTTGAGGGCTCCTGGATTGAAGCTGAAAGGCGAAAGGGAAGCAGGATGCTCCCTCCCATATTGGGGTAGACCAGGTGCTTCGATAGAAAAACACTTTATATATATATATGGGTCTTGGTCTTACCTTTGTCGGATATCAATCCCAAAATTAAAGAGCACTTTAGAAAAGCATAGGTGGATAACATAATTCTCCGTGTGGAGAATTACTGTGTGGAATTGGCAGCAGGTCCTTCTTGGCCTCTCACGAAGGTGTGAAGCATACATATATTTTCAAAAATATGTCACACGCATCACGTTTTAGGGAAAATTGCCATTAGGCTGATGCAGTTTTAATATATACTTCTTTTCATCTAGTTGGATGGCTTGTTTATGTTTTATTTCCCAATCTTTATATTATTGTAACATTATAATGTATGTGTTTTAAATTTTGTGTATGCTGTATTGTGGATGAAGATTGACCTCTATATATACAGACTTTCATAAACAGAAACACACAATATAGATAGGTAGGTAGGTAGAAGATAGATAGATAGATAGATGTAGGTAGGTAGGTAGGTAGGAGATAGATAGATAGATAGATAGATAGATAGATAGATAGATAGATAGATAGATAGACAGACAGACAGACAGACAGACAGACAGACAGACAGACAGACAGATGTAGGTAGGTAGGTAGGTAGGTAGGTAGGTAGGAGATAGATAGATAGATATAGAAAGATAGATAGATAGACAGACAGACAGATAGACAGACAGACAGACAGACAGACAGACAGACAGACAGACAGACAGACAGACAGATAGATAGATAGATAGAGGTAGGTAGGTAAGAGATAGATAGATAGAATAGATAGATAGATAGATAGATAGATAGATAGATAGATAGATAGATATACCGTAGGTAGGGAGAGGGAGAAAGAGGGAGGGAGAGAGAGCGGGAGAGGGGGGAATAAAAATAAGAACAAGCCCAACGTACTGTACTTTGACAGGGCCTGATGCTTGAATGTAAGCCGATGGCAAATTAAAAATCTGTGAGGTGAAATTTTCTTCCACATTCAGCTTCATTAACAAAACTTACTTCGCATTGTGAGGCGCTGATTTCTTGTGGTTTTATTGTTATTTATTGCATAGGTTTGATGCTGTGTTTCATTAACGGAGCATGTAATTGTTTAATGCTGGGTTGCAAATTACTGTGGGTTGGCTTGACAGGACTGTGGGGGCAAAAATATGATAATATAGTAAAGACTTGAAGTACTATAAAATAAAAGGCTGCATAAAGACTCAAAATAAATTGCAAGATGAAATTTTGAGACGAGTTTCATATTTTAATATAGAAAATTCTTAAAATGAATATAGATTGAAATCAAGTGTTCCTTCTAAGGCTACTGGATGATGATATAAACGTGAAAGCCACTCACGCATCATCATGAAATCTCCAGAACCGTAAAGCCTACAAACTTGAAATTTGCCACGTATGTTTCTCTTGGCTTGTAGATGCTCACTAAGAAAGGATTTTTCAAAATGACCATCAGAGCATTAGTATTTCCTATATTACGATTAACACGCTCTGATGCTAAGGAGTTCTACTCCCCCTCTCCACCTGAAAAGAAATCTGTTCCAAATGCAAAACACAAGCAGAGGAGAGGAGTTTCACTTTCAGTTTTACTTTCAAAGCAGGAAGTAGCTTTAATACAGAACAGTTGAGCTAAGCCATGGCCAGGCTCCTTCCTGTCTCCTTCCTGCCTCTGTAGGGCAAGGCTGAGGGAGAGAAGGGGATAGGATACGGGAGGCTGCTGTGGGGCAAGGCTGAGGGAAATCGTAACTACTCATTAATTTTGTAGCGGAGAACGTGTATTCAGCTAGTATATTATATGACATGGAGAAACAAACAGTGTCTAGTCAAAAGAAAAAAAAAACAATTGTAAATCGCATTGTTCAGTGCCGTTGTAACTTTGGTCACTAAATGAATGGTTGCAAGTTGAGATAAAATATTCTGTCTTCAGCCACGCATGCTCCTATTAGTATGCAGCTCGACAATTACGCCCTGACAGTCCCATTTTTTTAAAAAAACACACACACGTATGAAATTCCTCGCTCTGGAGACTGAGAGTTGCAATCCATCTCAAAAATGTCTACGTGAGCTACATTTCTCAAGCTCTGGGCCGATAGGAGAAAATAAAAATGCTTAATGCTTTACATTGTCTTGAGACAATGTCAATACCTCATTATCACACTTCTAACTATTGCATGGAATCCTTTCTGCCAAGAGGAATTATTAAAAGGCCATCTGGTAAACGCATGGAGGAAGAGCAGAACATGATGACTTCGCCGGTTATTTTTAACTGAAATTTCAAGTTAGCAGAGGCATTTTTTTCCCCTCCATCCTTCACCTCTGCCAACAGTCTAGAATTTTGTGCGCACTGGAGCATGAGATTCCAGATGGCAAAAGAAAGGAAAAAGGCAATGGACATTTCCCTCTAAGGAATCCATCACTTTAAAACTGCTCTCCAACTAAAGAAACGCTACTATTTCCCGTATTATTCATTTATTATTGCTTCATTTATCGTTATCAACTTCGTTTAACAACCCCATGATCCCTTGCGGGGTGGAGTCTGGGCAACCGAATGGAGCTGAGTGTTTACTGGCCGGATGCCCTTCCTATTGCCAGTGCGGAGTTTTGTTCAGCAGATATATTCCCATTGTGCCGAGAGAGAGAAATATCTGCCTCTACTAGGATCAAACTCACAGCCTGATTGTGAGGCCAAGCTCCACTTCTAGACCAGCACACCACTCTGCTGCATTTATCTTTTATTATTCATTTATTATTGTATGTCGATAGTCCTCAACTTACAACCACAATCGAGCCCAAAATTTCCATTCCTAAGTGAGACACTTAAGTGAGTTTTGACCCAATTGTCCACCTTTCTGGTAACAGTTAGGCATGAAAACCAGTTGGATGACTTTGGGCCAATCCCCAGGAGATGGTGAGTTCTAGGTTCTCCTTAGGCACAAAAGCCAGCTGGGTGACTTTGGGCCAATCCCCAGATGGTGAGTTCCAGTTCCTCCTTAGGCATGAAAACCAGTTGGATGACTTTGGGCCAATCCCCAGGAGATGGTGAGTTCCAGTTCCTCCTTAGGCATGAAAGCCGGCTGGGTGACTTTGGGTCACTTCCCAGGAGATGGCGAGTTCTAGTTTCTCCTTAGGCATGAAAACCAGTTGAGTGACTTTGGGCCAATCCCCAGGAGATGGTGAGTTCCAGTTCCTCCTTAGGCATGAAAGCCGGCTGGGTGACTTTGGGTCACTTCCCAGGAGATGGCGAGTTCTAGTTTCTCCTTAGGCATGAAAACCAGTTGAGTGACTTTGGGCCAATCCCCAGGAGATGGTGAGTTCTAGTTTCTCCTTAGGCATGAAAACCAGCTGGGTGACTTTGGGCCAATCCCCAGGAGATGGTGAGTTCTAGTTCCTCCTTAGGCATGAAAAGCAGTTGGGTGCTTTGGGCCAATCCCCAGGAGATGGTGAGTTCTAGTTCCTCCTTAGGAACGAAAGCCGGCTGGGTGGCTTTGGCCCAATCCCCAGGAGATGGTGAGTTCTAGTTTCTCCTTAGGCACGAAAGCCAGCTGGGTGGCTTTGGGCCACTTCCCAGGAGATGGTGAGTTCTAGTTCCTCCTTAGGCATGAAAACCAGTTGGGTGGCTTTGGGCCAATCCCCAGGAGATGGTGAGTTCCAGTTTCTCCTTAGGCACGAAAACCAGTTGGGTGACTTTGGGCCACTTCCCAGGAGATGGTGAGTTCTAGTTCCTCCTTAGGCATGAAAACCAGTTGGGTGACTTTGGGCGACTCTGGGTGACTCTCTCAGCCCAACCCATCTCACAGAGTTGTGGTCGGGAAACTAGGGGGGGGAAAGATGTCTTCGATATGTTTGCAGCCTTGAGTTATTTGTAAAAATAATAATGGCACGATAATAAAAAATAAATAAAGTAAAATATAAAACGTGAAATGAAATAAAATATAAAATAAGATAAAATGTAATGAAATAAAGTACAATAATGTAAATAAAATAAATTACAAGATGAAATGAAGTAAAATAATATAAATACTGCAAAATAATGTAAATAAAATAAAATAATAAAACATAAAATAAGATGAAATGAAATGAAATCATGTAAATGAAGTAAAATAATGTAAAATAAAATAAATAAATAAAATAAAATCTGAAACAAACTTTTGGCTTAGTGTTCTCAGAGACAAAGATATACATCCCATCAAGACAATTGTAAAGACTGGAATAAGCATGCAGAACTGAACAGACTGACAGGAGCACATGCCGGAAAATATCTATTTAAAGAATTGTAAGCCTCATGTCCAGATGAATTATTATTATTATTATTATTTTATTTCTATACCGCCCTTCTCCTGCGGGACTCAGGGCAGTGTACAGTCAAGATAAAACATTGCATATAAAATTTAAAAACAATTTAAAAAACAATTAAATAATTTTAGCCCAAAGTTTAAATCAACCCAATTAAAACCGAATTCAATTAAAAACTGAGAGGATGGGATCAAGCCAGCCCAGCTAGATGGAATAAGTGTGTTTTTAGGGCCTGACGAAAAGTCCGGAGGTCTGATATCGTGCGTATCTCAGGGGGTAGGTCATTCCAGAGGGCGGGTGCTGCCACAGAGAAAGCTCTCCCCCTGGGGGTCGCCAGCCGGCACTGTCTGGCCGACGGCACCCTGAGGAGGCCCTCTCTGTGCGAGCGAACCGGTCGGTGGGAGGCTATTGGCAGCAGAAGGCGGTCTCGCAGATAACCCGGCCCTAAGCCATGGAGCGCTTTAAAGGTGGTCACCAACACCTTGAAGCGCACCCGGAAGACCTCAGGAAGCCAGTGCAGCTCGCGCAGGAGAGGTGTCATATGTGAGCGCCCCGTCGCTCCCATAATCCCCCACGCGGCCGCATTCTGGACTAACTGTAGCCTCCGGGTGCACCCCAAGGGGAGCCCCATGTAGAGAGCGTTGCAGTAGTCCAGGCGGGACTGAATCACACGGCAAGTGGACAGTCATAGAAATTGAATAAATAAATAAATTCCACCTTGGAGAAAGAAATTTACTACTGTAGCTAGTCCTTTTACCTTTCAGAATCATGGGCAATGGGTGACTTGGATGAGAATCAAGCAAAATATAGACTAATGATGGCGAAACTTTTAGACACCGAGCGCCCAAACTGCGCACACGCACATACCCAAACTGAAAGGTGTGCGCGAGCGCACGAATGCAAGTACTTGCCATGTACACATGCACGGATGTGTGCGAACATCTGCGTACGCATGCATGGACAGGCGCATGTGTGGAAATGCACTGGAGCATGTACAGACATATGCACATGCGCAGCAGGCACCCGAAGAGCAGCTGGCCGGCGGGAGGCGGGGCATCCGATCACCGGCAGCACAGCAAGAGGTAAGATCTTTTTCTTTCGTGAGCTTCTGTTTCGTCGTTTGCAGGGAAACAGAAGCTCACGAAAGAAACGCCACGGAGATCTGACTTGGGACAACGGCGCGCGTGGCAGCAGAGAGGGATCTGCGTGCCACCACTGGCACACATGCCATTGGCTCGCCATCATCGCTTTATACCATTCAATCAGACATTAAAACCTGGAAATATTCTACCATATTACAAAGAGTTAAATCTGTGAAGACCATGAAAAAGATGAATTACTGCAAGGTATGTTTATCAAGAATACCACCTGACAGATTAGTTGGACCTCCAAGGTCCCTTCCAACTCTCTTACTCTGGTGTTTACTCTCCTCCATTTTTTAAATGTTTCTACTACCCTGTTTCCCCCAAAATAAGACATCCCCTGATAATAAGCCCGATCGAGCTTTTGAGCGCATGGCAATAACGGATAAGACAGATCCCCGTTATCCAAATTCTCTCACGATATCAAGACGATCTTTCGAAGTAATTTTGACTATTTTCAATTGTCTAAATTACATTTTTTGGACATCCATAGCGCCATTCCCAAACAGACAACAATGGTGCCTCTGGCATGGAAGAGGGCTGGTGGCCCTTGGACCACTTTGTCAACAAAATTGTATGATATGCATCAAAAACCACACTACAATACAGTTAAATGGCATTTACAAGTTTAATACCAAGCTTAATGTACCAATTGTTAGTTTATCTAAACAGACGGGTCATACAATGTACTGTAAGATTTATTCGGATTAATCAAAATGACTTTTTGTTGGCTGTGATTAGGATCCAACACCGAGGCGCCATTAAAACTCACCTGTGGGGGGTAGTTGCTTTCCGAAGACCACCGTGAAGATTGATCGTTGGGCTTGTCTACTAAAATATTCCTGGAAATAGAGAGAAAGAGAGAGACAGATGTAAACATTAAAAAAGTTAACAATATGTAATGGTTTTCAAAAGTCCCATTTCAACAAAACATAAGCAGACTGCCTCTTCATATTTGTCTGACAATAATTAAATATGCTAGAAAATATCCAGTCTTAGGTTCAAGTCGGGATTCAAACCCTGATCAACAGATAGTCCTCAACTTACAACCATTCATTTAGTGACCAAAGTTACAGCTGCACTCAAAAATGTGACTTACAACCATTTTTCACACTTACAACTGTACACACGTTTCCAACAAATGCTGATGATTTGCAAAAGTTTTTTTTCCCCCAATTACGATAACTGTTACTTTTCACAAGGCGATTTCTGGATGTTTTCGATCGGATTAGATGTTAGTGCAAATGTTACCCCACAATCCGCAGGTTATCTGGCGGATTTTGTTACAGTTATTGTGAGATCATTAGCAAAGGAATGCTTTTGCTAGTATTTTTGCACCACGGATCCCTTCGAGTCTAGGGGGAAAACCTATGGGCCCTCTTTGTTGTGGCCTGCCAGCGGCCAGCAGAGCTGGCAGCAGAGGTCAGGCAGTGAGGAGGTTGGGGAGGAACTTGGGCCAGTCCTGGAGTCTGGGGAAGGCTCGGACGATGGCTCTGAGTCGGAGGCAGAGAGGGGGCCAAGGCCATCTGGTAGTTCTTTGCTGCCTCCGGAGTCTGACATCAGCAAGGCAGAAGAACAGCGTGAGCCTGTTCCCCGTGTGCGCATGCGCAGAGCTGCCGGGAGATAGGAACAATTAAGGAAACAGGGTCGACTTGGGAGTAAGGCTTGGAGATGAGTGGCACCTCCCATAAGACATAAAAGAGAAGCGAACGGGACATGAGCTTTGGCAGGAAGCAATTCGTTCATCTGGCCAATTCAAGATTTGAAATTTCTGTTTGTGACTCTGTGCCAAGTTTGGCCTTGCCCTGCGTCTGGCAATTAGCTCTTTGGCAGCGTTCCACGTGAGATAGGTGGGTCTTAATAACCTTCCTCAGAAAGACTGTTTATCAAGCCTTGTGGACTGTAAATGAAAGTAATTTACAGCCGTATGAATTAAAAAGAGGTTTGCCGGGACTAAATTTGCGCGGTTTACTTTCTAAGGAAGTCAGAACCCTCTTCTGAGAAAAATATTATTTAAAGGCGTGAAATAAAATACATGCATAGGGACTGTACGACAAAGGAAGGCTTGCTTTGAGTTTTCACCCACAAAAGATTTTCCACGCACAAATCGATTCAGTTCATGGTGGGCTAAATATGTTTGGACAGGAGATTTTAAATGAATGAAGACAAATATACAGTATATAACAGAAGTGAGTACACCCTCTCACATTTTGTAAATATTTAAGTATATCTTTTCATGTGACAACACTGAAGAAATGACACTTGGCTACAATGTAAAGTAGTGAGTATTCAGCTTGTATAACAGTGTAAATGTGCCAAACGGGGCCCAAGGTGTCAATATTTTGTGTCTCCGCCATTATTTTCCAGCACTGCCTTAACCCTCTTGGGCACAGAGTTGCCCCTTCACATCTGAAGACCTTGTAACACTAACGCATCACATGACACCAGGGAGGGGAAATGGCTACTTGGGCCTCATTTGGACATTATCACTTAGGGGTGTACTCCCTTTTGTTGCCACCAGTTTAGACATGAATGGCTGTGTGTTGTGTTATTTTGAGGGGACAGCACATTTACACTGTTATACAAGCTGTTGTTCTGCCCCAGCTACGGACCCCAAAGAACGCAGCACATGCAAAGTCTGTACAAACCTTAGTTTATTAAATTAAATCAAACAAAACAAACCTTTGTTTTCAAACAAAGGTTATTAATTAACTTTCTTAACAGCCTACAAGAATCCAAAGAATAAATAATCGTAATCTTACTGTGGTTGGCAGAAAGCCCAGAAGCAATTTGCAGAGAATCCAGACGCGAAGGAGAATAAACTAAAGTTGTTCCCTACAAATTGCTTCAGTTGGTGTTCCTCCTTAAATAGGCTAAGGGAGTGGCCAATTAGCCCCAAGCCTTACTCTCAAGGACACCTCCTCCTGAGGAGCCATTCCTGCCTTTTGGTAGCTCTGCACGCCCGTGCATCGAGAAGAGGCTCCTCCTCTTCTTCCCCTTCACTTATGGGAGCTTCTGGAGGTTCTGAAGGCCCTGGCTGAATCCCCGCCTCTGGCACCACATCTTCTCCAGCCTCCTCACTGTCCAACTCAAGTGCCAGCTGCACAGGCTGCTGGCGCAGCACCACACCAGCCTCCTCGCTGTCTGAATCAGCTACTAGCTGCACAGGCCGCATATGGGCCACAACAGCTGTAAACTCACTACTTTACATTGTAGTCATTTCTTCAGTGTTGTCACATGAAAAGATATACCCGTGTTTCCCCGAAAATAAGACCTTGTCTTATATTTTACTGAACCCCAAAACGAGCGCTTGGCCTTATTTTCAGGGAGGTCTTATTATTTTGGGGTGCGTGGAGCAAGATGGGGCTCCTCTTGCCATCTTACCTGATTTCCAGCTCTGTGTTTAAATACTTTCAAGGAGGGCTTATTTTCGGGAGGGGGAGGCTTATTTTGGTGCATGTGCTCAAAAGCCCGATTGGGTTTATTATCAGGGGAATGTCTTATTTTCGGGAAAACAGGATATTTAAATATTTACAAAATGTGAGGAGGTGTACCCACTTCTGTGATATACTGCACGTGTCCCGGGATAAGGTTGCAAGATCCAAGCTGGGTCGGTCACCAGGACCGGAGGTTTAATCTTCCGAGATTTCGGACTCATGCCGGATCAGATTTTTAACACTCGTGGCAACAAGGAACAAGATGCCAAAGGAAACCAATTACACTCAGACGCAGCTATCAAAATATTAAAAAGTAATAAATACGGTAGTAATATATGTTCGCTCCCACAGAGAAGGCCTCCTCAGGGTGCCGTCGGCTAGGCAATGCCGGCTGGTGACCCCCAGGAGGAGAGCCTTCTCTGTGGTGGCACCTACCCTTTGGAACAATCTACCCCCAGAGATACGAGTGATCTCCGACCTCCGGACCTTTCGTCGGGCCCTAAAAACTCATCTCTTTCAGTTAGCCGGTCTCTCTTGATTTTATGATTTTATGGTTGGTTTTAAATTTTGATATGGATTTTAAATTGATAAATTGATAAACTATGGGCCAAATTTAATTATTTTAAATCTATTTTTAATCGTACTTATGTATAAATGTTTTTTATTTTGGCTGTTCACCGCCCTGAGTCCGAAAGGAGAAGGGCGGTATAGAAATTCGAATAATAAATAAATAAATAAATAAAATGTGCTTCTTTAATCTGTTAAATCAATACCAAGGCAGGCTAAATTTCACTTAGAGAATAGGGGAAATTATGTTGTATTTTTTTTTTCCCATCCAAGTTCATGGATCCCCTGAAATCTATTCACAAACACCCAAGAGGTTTTCAGACTCCAGGCTAAGAACTTATGTTTTAGACACTATCAAAACAGATACCTGTTATGGTTCTTTAAGTCTGGAGCCCGGAGAACAGTTGCAGGAACTGGGCACGGCTAGTCTAGTGAAGAGAAGGACCAGGGGAGACATGATAGCAGTCTTCCAATATTTGAGGGGCTGCCACAAAGAGGAGGGAGGTCAAGCTATTCTTCAAAGCACGAAGGCCAGACAGTTATAGTCATAAATCATGACAGCCATAAAGCAAGTCACCATGTGACCGAGCCAATTTTATGACTTTCTTTTTGTAGCAGTTCTTAAGGGAAATCATCCCGGTCGTTAAGTGAATCGGCGGTTGTTAAGCAAATCATTGTTCGTTTTGGCCAAAAACCTGATGTAAACGCTGGTTTTCGGCAAAACGTTGTAAATCACAGTCAAGGGACCATGGGATGCTACAAATGGCCATGAATGTAGGCCAGTTGTTGAGTGCCTGAAATGTGGTCACATAAGAATGTGGGAGGAGGCCTGTCAGAATTTCGGAACTGGATCCTGAGTCCTTTTTGGCGGGTCCGTTGTAACTTTGAACAGTCCATAAGTGAGAGGTTGTAAGTAGAAGCTCACTTATATTAAGTCCCTGGGTCAGTGATGGCTAACCTTTTTGCTATCGCATGCCAAAAGTGTGGGGGGGGGGCACCCCCCCCTGTTGCCCCCACCACCATAATTCTATGCGCCCTCCCCCCCCCCCATGCTCCCCTCATGGCACGCAATGGCACGGTGGGCCCGATAGGCCCATTTTTCGCTCTCCCCAGACTCCAGAGCCTTTCTAGGAGTCTGGGGAGGGCGAAAACGGCCTTCCCCACCCCTCTAGAGACCCTCCGGAGGCCAGAAACAGTGTGTTTCCTGACTTCTGGTGGGCCCAGAAGCCCTGAAAATCAGCTGGCCGGCACACACATGCGGGCCGGAGCTGAGCTCGCATGCCCACCAATATGGCTCCACGTGCCATCTGTGGCACCCGTGCCATAGGTTTGCCGTGAGTATTACAATTGGTAAGAAACTTCTGAAACTGCAAGAAGGAAATACAGAAATGCTTCCTTTTCTCTTCCAATCCATAGATTGCTTTGGGAAAAGTTACATCTTCCAGCTTAATCTTTCTTTAAAAAGTTTTATCAGGCGTACAATACGCCGTATCCACAAAATATACAAAAATGATTCAAGAACAACACTGCAATTCCTGCTTCTTGAATAGGAGCTTAGAAACGGCAAAAGAAATGTGCTTTTTCTCTATTTCGGAAAACACAGCTGGAGGGGGGGGGACCAAAAAAAAAACCAAAAAACCAGGACTGCATTTTTTTTTCTTACAACAAAAATGCTTGGAAAAGAGACAAGAAACTGAATGGCCCCGAGTAGAAAGGAACAAATCTCGTCCTTTGAAAGCCTTGAATGGCAGTGATCAGACGTAATCAATCAGAATAATTCCGCCCGTTAAGAATCCTCCCCACACAAAAGACCAAAGAAATCAAAAGCTTTCCGACAA